AGACCTTTCTAATCTATAGAACTTGCATGCGCCGTGCGCCAGCCAAGCCCGTGCGTGCGTGCACTCTGCGAAAGTGGTGTCTTGTTTCACATGTCACATTTGAAGCTCCACTTCGCACTTCGCACTTCTCACTGCAGTCTTCACACTCCACACTGCACACTTCACACTGCACTCTTCACACTGCACCCTTCGCAGTCAACACTTCACTTCACACTGTACTCTTAAGACTCCACACTTCACACTTCACACTCCACACTTCACACTTCACACTGCACTCTTCGCACTCCAAACTTCACACTTCACAGTCCACACTTCTCACTTCTCACTGCTTCCTTCACACTCCAAACTCCACACTTCACACTTCACACCCCACACTTCATCTCATCTGAGCTCTTCGCACCTTATCCCAGCTCAGCTCTTCTCATCTCATCTCTTCTCATATGTCATCTAAGCTTTCATGAATGACTTCCCAATACTACTAGAAAGGAACTTGCATGCGCAGTGCGCCAGCCAGGCCTGTGCGTGCGTGCTTTGTGCGAAGCTGTTGCAATGTTGTTGTCCAAGAACATGACCTGCACGCGTCCCCGGTACAATGCAAACACTATCCTCACACTTCACATTGCACTCTTCACACCCCACACTCCACACTTCACACTTGCACTTCGTCTCAACTCATCTCATCTGAGCTCTTCTCATCTCATCCCATGCCTTCCCATATGTCAGCTAAGTTCTTCTTGGCTATTTTTATGTCAAGTACTTCCCAGTACTGATGTCTAATACAAAAGCTTGCAAAAACCACTTCCCAGTACTACTTTGTACTACATAGCTTGCAAAAACCACTTCCCAGTACTACTTTGTACTACATAGCTTGCACAAAACACTCCCCAGTACTACTTTGTACTACAAAGCTTGCACAAACTACTTCCCAGTAGCACTTTGTACTACAAAGCTTGCACAAACTACTTCCCAGTACTACTTTGCACTACAAAGCTTGCACAAAGCACTCCCCAGTACTACTTTGTACTACAAAGCTTGCACAAACTACTTCCCAGTACTACTTTGTATTACAAAGCTTGCACAAAACACGTTCCAGTACTACTTTGTACTACAAAGCTTCTACACACATCAAGTTCTTTCGCAGAGAAGCTTTACACAGCAAGCTTTCACACACAGCAAGCTTCTTCACAGAGAGGCTTTTACACACAGCAAGCTTTCACACACAGCGGGCGTTTACACACAGAACACTTACACACAGTGCTTTTACACATGGCAAGCGTTTACACACACACACAGCAAGCTTTTTAAACAGAGAAGCTTTTACACACAACAAGCTTTTACACAGAGAAGCTTTTACACACAGCAAGCTTTTACACACACAATCTTTTTCACACAGCAAGCTTTCAAACACAGCAAGCGTTTACACACAGAACACTTACACACAGTGCTTTTACACATGGCAAGCGTTTACACACACAGCAAGCTTTTTAAACAGAGAAGCTTTTAGACACAACAAGCTTTTACACAGAGAAGCTTTACACAGCAAGCTTTCACACACAGCAAGCTTCTTCACAGAGAGGCTTTTACACACAGCAAGCTTTCACACACAGCGGGCGTTTACACACAGAACACTTACGCACAGTGCTTTTACACATGGCAAGCGTTTACACACACAGCAAGCTTTTTAAACAGAAAAGCGTTTACACACAACAAGCTTTTACACACACAGCAAGCTTTCACACACAGCAAGCGTTTACACACAGAACACTTACGCACAGTGCTTTTACACATGGCAAGCGTTTACACACACAGAAACTTTTACACAGAGACGCTTTTACACACGGAGAAGCATTTACACACAGCAAGCTTTTACAGAAAAAAATTGCACAGAGAAGCTTTCTTGTACATAATCACAACAGGAATTGCAGCTCCAAAACTGGATCTCGACGCCAAAGCGACAAAAAGACGATTTTGAAACACTTTTTAAAAGGAATTTTAAAAGGAAAATTATTAGCGCCAAAATTGAGAAAATCTGCTGACAAATCACTTTCGCAGCCTTGATGCAGCCATTCCAATACGATTTACGATCTTCAGCTGCAAAAGACAATAGTATTACGCATGCAGCCGCTGCACCAAGCAACCTTGACGCAGCCACTACAATGCGATCTGCAGAGACTGCGTTGCAAAACACAATAGAACTACACGCAACAGCATCGGCAATAGCAGCTCCAAAACCGGATCTCGACGCCAAAGCGACAAAAAGACGATTTTGAAGCACTTTTTAAAAGGAATTTTAAAAGGAAAATTATTAGCGCCAAAATTGGGAAAATCTGCTGACAAATCACTTTCGCAGCCTTGATGCAGCCATTCCAATACGATTTACGATCTTCAGCTGCAAAAGACAATAGTATTACGCATGCAGCCGCGGCACCAAGCAACCTTGACGCAGCCACTACAATGCGATCTGCAGAGACTGAGTTGCAAAACACAATAGAACTACGTGCAACGGCGTCGGAAATTGCAGCTCCAAAACCGGATCTCGACGCCAAAGCGACAAAAAGACGATTTTGAAGCACTTTTTAAAAAGAGGTTTAAAAGGAAAATTACTAGCGCCAAGATTGCGAAAATCTGCTGACAAATCACTGTCGCAACCTGGATGCAGCCACTACAATACGATTTACGATCTTCAGCTGCAAAAGACAATAGTATTATGCATGCAGCCGCGGCACCAAGCAACCTTGACGCAGCCATTACAATGCGATCTGCGGAGAATGAGTTGCAAAGCACAATAGAACTATGCGCAACGACGTCGGAAACTGCAGCTCCAAAACCGGATCTCGACGCCAAAGCGAAAAAAAGACGATTTTGAAGCACTTTTTAAAAAGAGTTTTAAAAGGAAAATTACTAGCGCCAAAATTGCGACAATCGTCTGACAAACCACTGTCGCAGCCTGGATGCAGCCACTCCAATACGATTTACAATCTTCAGCTGCAGAAGACAATAGTATTACGCATGCAGCCGCGGCACCAAGCAACCTTGACGCAGCCAGTACCATGCGTTTCGCAGCATCACGTCGCAAACCTGCACGTATCTACACACATAACAACACCAGATGACAAGAGTCATGCAGCCATTCCAATGCGATCTGCAAGCACAGATTCCAAAACACCCTATAACTACGCACACACACAAGCACACCCAAAGCAGCTTGAAGCCACCGTTACACTGCGGCCAAAAAAAAAACGATAAACCGACCGCAGCCGCACCCGCCGCACAGACGAGGTACCTTTCATCGTCGCCTGCAGCCACTTTACACGGAAAAACGCAAGGTTTCGTGCTCCGGCTTCCTCCCCACAACAGAGCCCTTGCAACATCATGCAGCCATTCCAATGCGATCTGCAAGCGCAGATTCCAAAACACCCTATAACTACGCACACACAAGCACACCCAAAGCAGCTTGAAGCCACCGTTACAATGCGGCAAAAAAAAAGGCAAACCGACCGCAGCCGCACCCGCCGCACAGACGAGGTACCTTTCATCGCCGGCTGCAGCCACTTTACACGGAAAAACACAAGGTTTCGGGCTCCGGCTTCCTCCCCAAAACAGAGCCCTTGCAACATCATGCAGCCATTCCAATGCGATCTGCAAGCACAGATTCCAAAACACCCTATAACTACGCACACACAAGCACACCCAAAGCAACTTGAAGCCACCGTTACAATGCGGCAAAAAAAAAAGGCAAACCGACCGCAGCCGCACCCGCCGCACAGACGAGGTACCTTTCATCGCCGGCTGCAGCCACTTTACACGGAAAAACACAAGGTTTCGTGCTCCGGCTTCCTCCCAAAAACAGACCCTTGCAACATCATGCAGCCATTCCAATGCGATCTGCAAGCACAGATTCCAAAACACCCTATAACTACGCACACACAAGCACACCCAAAGCAGCTTGAAGCCACCGTTACAATGCGGCAAAAAAAAGGCAAACCGACTGCAGCCGCACCCGCCGCACACACGAGGTACCTTTCATCGCCGGCTGCAGCCACTTTACACGGAAAAACACAAGGTTTCGTGCTCCGGCTTCCTCCCCAAAACATAACCCATGCAACATTCATGCAGCCATTCCAATGCGATCTGCAACCACCCTTCATCAAGGTCAAGTCTCAATCGCACACCACCCTTCAAGGTCAAGTCTCAATCCGATCTGCAAGCACCCTTCATCAAGGTCATGTGAAGTCTCACACCACCCTTCAAGGTCAACTCTCAATCGCGCACCACCCTTCAAGGTCAAGTCTCAATCGACACCACCCTTCAAGATCAAGTCTCAATCGCGCAGCACCCTTCAAGGTCAAGTCTCAATCCGATCTGCAACGACCCTTCATCAAGGTCATGTGAAGTCTCACACCACCCTTCAAGGTCAACTCTCAATCGCGCACCACCCTTCAAGGTCAAGTCTCAATCGCGCACCACCCTTCATCATTTCAAGACTCAGAATTCTATTTGTCCGTACCTCGGAAGTATTGCTTCCCAACTTCCTTTGATGAATGTTATAAATTATATATATATATAGTTAATGATTATTTTTATATACTCTATATTATATATACATATATATATATATCATATATCTATCTATCTATCTATCTTTCTATCTATCTTTCTATCTATCTGTCTATCGGTCTATCTATCTATCTATCTATCTATCTATCTATCTATCTATCTATCTATCTATCTATCTATCTATCTATCTCTCTCTATCTCTCTATCTCTCTATCTCTCTATCTCTCTATCTCTCTATCTCTCTATCTCTCTATCTCTCTATCTCTCTATCTCTCTATCTATCTGTCTGTCTGTCTGTCTGTCTATCTATCTATCTATCTATCTATTACATGTTATTTATCTTCTTACTGTAATTGTGACATGCCACAGGCCAGAATGACAGGTGCCAAAAAACTAGGGAAACTACCATGACAAACACAACGAACAACAATAAATATATTCATACATATTCTGCCTTCGTAATTGTGATATTCAACTTTGCACACCAAAATATCCTTTTTCAACACCATTTTTTCTTTGGGCCAGAAGGTCCCAATAGTAGTAGGGGCTTGTGGCAGCAATGATGCATGCGGCACCACTACTGCATGCGGAGAGCTGGCTATCCAATGCTCTGGGAGGTTGATTCGATCCTCACGAAGATGCGGCATGTGACAGAGGTGAAACGGTATGGTTTGGAACTGCTGTATTTTGTGAAACGTTTGATGTTGCTGTTGATTTGCCACCGATTCTGCGCCCTGGTGCATGTGGTGGGTTTGGCACAACTTGATTCTGAGTGGATCCATTGAGGGACGGATTGACTATTTCTGCTTTGTCTGCATACTGATCTTGGCATGTTGGCATGTCTTTTGCCCCACAGCCAGAAGGTCCCAATATCCAATGTTCATCCAGCAATGCAAGGCAAACCAGTTTTTGGGTCAATAAGGTCCCAATATCCGCTAGGACCTAAGTTTTCTGATCCAAAGGATGTAAAACATGCACCTCCCCCTTTTTTGGGAGGTTATGGTCGCAATGCGCATTAGAACTTCCGATTTCTTGGGTCCGAGTTGGCCATGAATAGGTTTACACAACAAGTGAAAATGTCCATCCCAAAGATGCGATAAACACATTTTTTCGGGGGGTCCATAAGGCCCCAATATCCAATGTAATATGTTTCGGGTGTTACCGGAAAATGAATTGGTTTTACACGCCACAAACATCCACTTTCAATCCAAGAATTAGCCGATCCCAAAAGGTTCACTCGGAAATTCGGAGGTTTTATGTTTACCAAACACAACTGGTGTGTGCAATCTGTTGCAATTGTTTTTCGCTGTTTGGATATGTTCGGTTCACCAGGTACGATTTGTATTTGCAATATTGTGCACAAATTTGCAAGGTGGAAACCACTTTCTGGCAACAATTGCAACACTTGACAAACATGACAACATTCAGAATAAATGGGAGTTTTGAGAAAACATGAGAAGTTGTGGGGTAAAATGGGAAACAATGACAAACAATGAGAAACAATAAGAAGCATGAGAAGTTTGGGGTTGGATCAAATTGAATTTACTTTGACTTGAACATGAAAAGACGATAATTAGAAATGATGAGAAACAAATTGGGGTTGGATCACTTCAGCACAAAATGAGAAAAAACGAGAAAACATGAAAAACTGAGAAGACATGAAAAACTGAGACAACGTGAGAAAACACAAAAAGATTCAGATGTCTTTTTGTTGTTTGTGTTTCCTTGAGGGTAACAGCCACTTAGATCACATGGCGCAAAACTTGCTTTAACTTTAAGACAAGTGTTCTGGACAGTGTGCCCCAAACATCAAGGACGAACACTTATATTTGGCTACATTTTGGACCTCTTCGCTTGTAATTTTGCTCTTGGTTTACTGAATTTACTGTCGATTTTCCTTGGGGAGGCTGGATTGGCTACCAGGCTACAATGGGAAACCTCGGAAGGACAAGGCTCATAGGTTTTTAGAGTGTAAGGCTCGTAGATTTGTGCGGTTTTAGGTTTTTGAGAATTTAGACATCATAAAAATAGGGATGCACGAGCTGACGATTCGCGTCAGGAATTCCTCCTTGAAGATCGAACTTGCGGTGGTTTACCCTGATCTTTTAAGAGTGGTTTCTGCATTTGAAAGCTGAAAATAGCTTCGTCATGCTTCGTCATATATGTTCCATTCATTTTGCCATGCAGGCCTCATGCAGCACGTTGCAGGTAAAGATGCGTTCAACAGTTCTTGCACAAACACACACACAAACATACACAAACAGTATAGGTAAAATCCAGAGAGGATAAAAAAAGAGAAACAACAAAACATAGACCACTTTTGAAACTACTTTCAGGCCACCTCTCTGCAGCCACCACTTTGGGTTGCGGACATATACCTCGTAGACATACCCATAACTGAACAAATCAAAGCGACCCCTGCATCTTTCGTGTTCCCTGCCTTCCTCTCAAGTAGATCAGTAGTCTGCTTGCAAAATGACTTATGTGACTTTGTGTATTAAGAGTCTTTAAAACGTTGAAACATGATTAAAAATAACTGTGTATCAAGATTGATTGAAAACGACGTCAATCGCAGCTCCTATTGGTTTGCCCCAGGATCTTAGAGTCTTAGAGTCCAGCGGTCGTCAGTCAGCGGATAGCCAGGCAGCCTCGCCAGCATTGAAGACCACCGCTTCCAATGACGAGCATCTTGGCATCGATGGCGCCGAGGGTAATCAACCACTCAACTGATCCAATGATGGTGATGGGGAGAAGGAGGAGAGGAAGGATTCTAATGATGAAGTCTATTATCCACACACGCACAGTATATTATACATTGATGTAATACGGATAAATTGAAGTTAAGCTTGTCACAGTCAATGCACTCCCACATCCACATGATCACATGTCATGTGATGTTTTTGGGGTGGCAAAAAAGATGCCGGTAAATATATACCTTCTATTGTGCCAAGACTTTCCCCAACATGACGGAGCAACCAGCCACCCAACGCTTGGAATGTGCTAAACGCAATAGTAAACCTCCATTGGGGATGCTTCTGGTATTGGGTTTACCACATTCCTTACCGACATTAAGGTGAAAAGCACTTACAAAGAATCTGCAGTGCCAATGCAGCCATAACTCATGGGCTCAAAGTAGATGCAAAGGTAAGGTGCCTTAGGTCTTCAGAACCCGTGAGTCAAAAACTAATGTGGTTAAAGTAACAATTAGCCGCCCATATTTTGATGGTTTATACCACCCAAGATGGTAATTTTTCCAAAACCATCCGCCCTTGTCTTAGGCGAGTCAGCAAGCTGGTACAGCGGATGAGTGCCACCTGGCAGCTTTAGGAGTGTCCAACTAGTTCTATACGTTCTATAGGGGGATGGATGAACCCCCATGAATTTCCAACAATAGGGAGATGAGAATCCACGTTGTTGGAGAATCCACAGCAGATCTGGCGCGCATTTGTCAGGCGAGACACTTGGACCTGATCCGCGAGTTGAGCGCCAAGAATCGAGAGAAGGAGGAGACCAGGGATGCCTCCAGAGACATTTGGCATCCCTTCCCCCACGGAATCTGATGGAATCCGGTGAGATCCTGCGGAATCCAATGCCCCCATGGAATCACATGCAAATCCCATGGAAGCCTGTGAAATCCTATGGGATTCCATGGAATCCGATGGACATGCACATGCTGAGCAGGTCAGGACCTGAAACCATTTCTGTTGTGGAGGAACAGCTGAAGAAAGAGGAGCAGCGTCAGCGCAAGAGGGAGAGCTCCCTACGAACGCGCATCCTCTCCCGCATGGGTCATGTGCTCAAAGGATGAGATTTACAACAACTTGCAGCAAGCTGGTTCCTTCCATGGTTCATAACCTTGGCCTTTTTTGCTTGTTTAGTATTTGCAGAGACGAACAGTTCATGATATTGGAGAAGCTCGGCTTTCTGCAAAGCCAAGACAATCCAGCCTTTCATGACATTCCACGAAGTTCCATTTTGCAGAGAGTCAGCTTTGCAGTTTGACAGATTTTGGAAAATTTACCACGTTTAGTAGGATCACAAACCATATTCATTCAATTTCATTAGGGAGTTCTGCATATATTTCTGATAATTAATTGATAGGATGTTGCATTCATCAGAAATACCACAATTATCCAAAATTGGTATTTACGAATACCATGAAACCGCCATTTCCATTGCCAGATTAGATTACCATAGGCTATCCACAGCGTCGCCAAGGTGATGAGAAACCCGAGAAGCCGCAGGATGAGTTCCCGACTCTTCCACCAGACGAGTTTCTTGATGGGGCCAAAGGTTACTATGTCGACAAGTCACCTTTCATATCAGCCATGTCAACCATATTTGGTGTTTAATTACATATGTTGAGAAAATTGGACATAGGAATATACAGATGAGCCATACATGGGTTATATATATATATGGTTATATATATATATGGTTATATATATAATTATATATATAAACTGTGAATGTACCATCCATTTGTATCATCAACTCATGTCTATCACATGGACATACCATGATCCACATGGTTCCATTGGGTGCTTCCAACACGTGCCGTCCGCTTCGCCGACAATGCAGCTGGGCGGGCGGGAGGATTCAACAAGGCCAGCAAAACAGGGTTTTGCACCTCAGGGTTGGTGGATAGGAATCCCCGAAATAATATCTCAGGGAGATAGTAAATTCACATTGGTAGCGGAGCCCTGGGCTGCCGCCGGGGGCATCCGAGTAACTAACTTAATTTTGGGGCATCTTAGACGGGGTCTAGGACAGTCAAACAAAGTTCCATAGGCTGGAACAACAGTTTTCTCGGGCGCAAAGTCTGAGCCATGTCCTCGGAACGAAGGGCGGAAGCAGCAGATCCACCTTCGTCGGGGATTCCTCCGAGTTCCCTTCCATGGGGACAGATACCTCGTTTTGATCCGTCAACGACGGACTTGAGGGTGTACACCCAGAAGTTGCAGTTCCTGCATCAGGTGTGGCCGACTGAATACATAGAGCATTTGGCGCCACGGGCGGCCTTGCTGGTGGAGGGTGCCGCATTCCAAAAACTGGCAAGACTTGATGCACAGAAACTGAGATCAGCGGATGGGGTGAAGATCCTCATTGAGACCTTGGGGGGTGCCTGGGGTCGCACAGATCCTGAGGACACCTATGACTTGTTTGAGCGAGCATTGTACTCAGTGAGCCAACGATCTGATGAAACAAACGACAGCTACTTGGCCAGGCACGACACGGTGTTCGAAGACTTGCTGTCGAAGAAGATCACACTGGCCGACGTACGGGCATATGTGCTCGTCAGACAATCGAACCTGAGCTCTGATGACCGAAAACGGATCATTGTAGACAACCAGGGCCAACTGACCTATGAGCAAGCACGGAAGAGCCTGAGGCTCCTTGGGTCAAGATTCTTCCAGGACCTTCAGGGGAATCGAGCCAATCATGGCAAGAAAACATATGAGGCCTACCAGCTTGATGAACCTGAGGACAATCATCAAGCGGCCTTCATGCAGGAGACCGAGTCCATGGAGATCGACGAGGAGCAGATCTTTCAGCTTCTTGCAGACCAAGGTGACGAAGATGCGGTGTTCATCTCTGACTTTGAGGATCAGATTGTGGACGCCATCCAGGATCACCCAGGCTTGTCACAGTGCTTCTTGAGCTATCAGGAGGCCCGTGCTAGGGTGAGAGAGCGAGCCCGTGCCAGGGGTTTCTGGCCAGTGAAGGGAAAGACCAAGGGGAAAGGAGGCAAGAAGGGAAAACCGTCATGGACACCAGCCAATGGATCGTCGTGGACTCCAGGTCGACGTCGTTCTTTGGCGGACCGGATCGCCAACTCCACATGCAGGGCCTGTGGACAGCCCGGGCACTGGAAGAGGGAGTGCCCAAACCGTCCGGATGTCAAAAAGAATGAAGCCACCAACATCACTGAGGAGATCCACCTTGGCACCGATGACGTCGCCGCCGACATCTTCGAGGTGGTATCCGAACTCCCAGGAGATGCAGTCTCTTGGAGCCAGGCATGGAATGAAAGTCAAAACTCATGTCATGCGGTTGGGGACTGTTCGGATTGTTTTGTTTGTGTTGAGGGTCACATGTCAAACATGGTTCAACATACGCTCCATGCCCGGCTGATCGAATGCTGTAGGAAGCATGGAATTGAAACGGTGGCCCCAGTGATGCACGAGAGCGTCAAGCCTGAGACATTGCCGGACACTCGCCCGAGAAGTCCTGAAAGGATTTCTGAGCCTTCCACAAGGGAGGCCCATCCAGCAACTGTTTTCCAAGTTGAAGAAGCATGCCATGAGGCCATACTTGACACAGGGGCTAGTAGGGCTGTTATTGGATCTGAACGATTGAGCAAGCTGGTTAGTTCTTGTGGTCTGGAGGGGTCCCTCAAAACTGCCCCCTCAAATGTGAATTTTCGATTTGGTAACTCCGGCGTGCTTCAGAGTTCACACGCTGTGTTCTTTCCACGGAAAACAGGAGGATGGATCCGAGTGGAAGTGGTTCCTGGTCAGACACTGTTTTTGCTGTCAAACTCAGTTCTTCGTGCCCTTAAGGCAGTCATAGATGTTGAGGCAAGGCAGGTCTGGTTCAAAGGTTCCGACGATGTCATTCCTCTTAGAACATGCCGCAAAAATCTCATGAGTGTTGATTTTACCCAAATTCTAAACTTATCATGTGGTTCACATCAAGAAACTGATCATGAAATACATGTGATGGATCAACATGAGGGTTGGAGTCATGAGTACATGCGTGAAAATCAACATGATGAAGTAGGAGACAAAACCCATGGAAAAATTCAGATGGCCGTGAATCAGAGTGAAAGTGTACAGAGAAATTTTGACAACTCTTTGAAGAATGTCGGGGATGGCCTTCAACCGATGTCTCAAAGGGTAGCCCAACTTTTGCCCAAGTTTCCCAGTTTTCAGGAAGTGCACCCAATCGAAGCAGTCAGCCATGAGTCAGGATCTTCACGATCAGCAACTGACATTCAGGATCGACCCGAAGCTCAGCACCACAGCGCAGTATCCCGAGTCGGCGCCGGCAGAAATTCAGCGTCCACCGGGGATCTCCACTCTTCGAGAGTGGGGTCAGCTGAAAGTGCCATCGGGAAAGTTTGGGGGAAAGACATTCGAACAGGCACACAGCGATCTATGCTATGTTCGACAAATGTGGAATCGGAAGGCGGTATCCGCCTGGGTTCGAAGTTTTCAGATGTACTGCAGAGCCCGAAGTCAGGCCACCCACGAGTATGCCTACAAGATGCAGGAGCAGGGGATCGAAGTGGATTTGGTCAAACACCTGTCACAGGTATCGAATGGGGCGAACAGCAGTTTCAATGCCGAGCCCAAGCCGATCAGCAAGCCCAAGACCCCGATCGGTGCGACACAGGAGAAAGACAAAGCTGGAGAGTGGATCAAGATCGAAGAGGAGATGAAGTCAACGAACGAGCACAGCCGAGCTCCCAAGAGGGTGAATTCCAAGCCAAAGGCCTCAGCCATGGCAGTGGAACCCAACCATCATCGGGTTCAGGAGATTCGCACACAGATTGCGATCCTGGAGCGGGAGCTTGCCAAAGAAGTCCAGATCCCCGAAGAGGAGGACATCTGAGTGCTGAGCTTGACAAGATAACCAACTACATCGAAAGTGAATGTCCGATCGATTCTCTGTCCCCTGAGCACGAAGCGATGCTTCACATGGCCATCAATCGGAAAATCAATGAGGTAGAAAGCGGGTTGCTTTTGTTATCCTCCAAAAATGATCTTGGTCATGTGAAAAAGGGGAGACATCAAACAGAGGGGAATCGAAGAAATACCCACCAAAGTCGGCCATTGGACCTATTGGAAGTTTACTGTGAACCTAATTCCCAAATTACCACACAGATTAACAAGATTGGGGGACGAGCCATGCGCTTTTCCAAATCTGATGGGGATCTGAATACTTCCGAGGGAGTCCAAAAACTTTGGTTATGGATATATATGTATGAACCTCGCCACGTATGGTTGGCCCCAGAGTGCCGGTTGTATGGAAAATTTTCCAATCTCAATATGAGTCAAAGTCTTTCCATGTATGACCGGATTCAGGAACAGAGAAAACACAACAAGCATCATCTTCAATTGTGCAATGACATCTACAACCATCAAGTTTCCCATCGAAGACATGTGCACCTGGAACAACCATCAGACTCGTGCATGTTTGGTCAACCCGAACTTAAGGAGCTGATGTCTGGAACATATGAAGCCAAATTTGACATGTGTGAGGTTGGGAAACTCAAGCTACCCCATATGGAAAAATTTCTTAGGAAACGAACAAGTCTTCGAACCACCAATGGGTACTTGTACCATCACCTTCATCAACAATTTTGTGGGAAGAATCATGAACATGAAACCATCCAAGGGTCGTTTAACCATCAGGGTCAACGACAAAATGTATCAGCATATGCTGCAGCTTACACCTCAATTTTTGGGTCTAGGATTGCACGGCTGATTCTTGAGGAGTGCCAAATCAAGGAACCTCCTTGTGTTTCCGATGTGTTTGTTGCAAAAGAACATCATGATCGACCAGGAACTGCGCCGGACGATGCTCCGTGCCCAAAGCGGCAACGACACTCAATTAAAGGGCCACCTCGGGGATCGGATATCCCTGTTGCAGCTCCGACATATGGACGGGCCCCAACTTGGGAATCCATGATTCGCAAATGTTCATCTAGGGTCCCCAGGGTTGGAAATTTTGTGATCCGTGTTGGGGAGGATTTGTTTGGGGAGTTTCAAATGATGGTGCCGGAGCTGCAACTTAAGCTTGTTATGCTGTGCAGAGGAACTGAGAGGTTCCGTGTTCCCGGAAATCTGTCAAATGGTGAGCCAATGCCATGGCGGAAAACCATCATCATCGACCGTGCTACCGGTGAGGTGATCGACAAAGGACCACCGGAAAACTGGACAGCACTGTCTCGAATCAAACAAACTCGAAGTGCTGGATCCGCAAGATTGTCTGTAACTCTGTTTGGGGATAAGGTAGATATGGGAAGTGGGGAGTGTAAAGAGGGGAATAACCCAGAAAACCCAGAAAGTGAACCTATGGAAGTCGAACCGGGTTTGGATGTTCGTGCAAGTGGGGGGGGTCCTGAGCAGGGTTGGCCTCCAAGGATTGTTCCCAAAAGTGGCCCTGATTTTGAAAGCTTAGAGCCTGGTCAGAAGTCGGATCTGAGAAGACTTCATGCCAACTTGGGACATCCACACCCGGGGAAGCTTGCAAAACTCCTCATCGAACAGGGTGCTGACGAAGCCGTGGTGAAAGCCGCTCGCGACTATCAGTGTGATACGTGTATAGAAAATCAGCCTGGTCCAAAGCTTTCACATTCGGCAAGCCTTCATGTTCCAAAAGATTTTAATGACTGTGTTGGATGTGATGGAGCCTATTGGACAAATCAACAGGGTCTGAAGTTCCATTTCATGCACTTCATTGACGAAGCCACACTTTACCATGTTGGGGTTCCTAGTGGTAGGACAACTGAGGAGCAGATTCAGGTTTTCGAGAACACATGGCTGAACTGGGCAGGGCCATGTAAGGTGTTGTATCTAGACCCTGCCGGTGAGTACGTCAATGATCAGTGGCATGATTTCGCCCAAAAGGAAGGGATCAGACTGTCTGTTGCAGCTGCAGAGAGTCACTGGCAGATTGGCCGCGCTGAAGCCCATGGTCGGGTGGTCAAACAAATGTTGACCGCCATGGACCTGGATGAACCAATTTCGAACTTTGATCAATTTCGGAAAAGCCTTCGACATGTGTTTGCAGCGAAAAACTCACTGAGTAGTGTAAATGGTTATTCCCCTGAACAGGCGTTGTTGGGCAAGTCTTGTGCAATTCCTGCTTCACTTGTGGGAGACAGTGATGCTGCAACACATAGTTTGGCAGAAAGTGAAACCACTGAAGGAATCCTCTTTCGTGAAAGCCTCCGAAGGCGCGAATGCGCTCGAAAGGCTTTTCTGACCGCTGATAATAACAGCGCTCTTCGCCGAGCAATTCTCCGTCGACCCCGAAAGGAAATTACCCAGTATAGGGCTGGTGATTGGGTACTTTACTGGAGAAGACTCAAGGGGAACCAAAAAGGGGAACGGGGAAGATGGCATGGTCCCGGTCAGATTATAGCCACTGAATATCCGAAAATTGTTTGGGTAAGTCATGGAGGGTATTTAGTGAGGGCAAGTCCACAACAGCTCAGACCTGCTTCTCTTCGAGAACACCTTGAACTTCGGAGAGATGTATCAGGGAGGATAATGGACGAACAAATCAAGCCTGCGTGTAAGAACTTTGTTCAACTTGAGGGTGTTCCTGAAGAGGAGGACGAAACCTCCGTGACCAACCCCATCAGTGGGATTCCTGGCAGTGCCGCTGATGGAAGTCAGCCAGAGGGCGAGATTTTCCCGTCTGCGGCTCCGTCGTCTGTTTCGCCGTGCCCATCTCTTTTGGATGACAGCCCTGAAACTCCAGAGGAAGGACTGGACTTTAATGCCCCAATTGAAACACCGGTTCCAGAGGACGGGGATCTTTTGTTTGGGGATGATTGGGAAGTACCACAACAAGGAGTAGGTGTTTGGGAAATATCCCTCGAAGATGGTCCCCCTAAGATGGTTGATGAATGTTTGGTAAGTGAATCCCCCGAACTCTTGGAATGGTCATTAATTGCAACTGGGGCTAGAAAACAAAGGGTTGAAGTACAGTGGAAAGATTTGGGAGATGCGGAGCGCCAGCTGTTCCAGCAGGCAAAGAACAAAGAGATAGATGCCTGGGTAAAACATGAGACTGTGAAGAAAGTTGCAAGAGGCACACTTAGGGATGACCAGATAATGCGTTGCCGCTGGATTCTGACATGGAAGCCCCCAGCTCCTGGCACAAGCGAACGACGCGCCAAAGCGCGCTTAGTGGTTTTGGGTTTCGAGGATCCCCAAATTTCTTCCATCTCTGCTGATGCTCCCACTTTGTCCAAGGATGGCAAGCAGCTAGTGTTGCAACAGGTAGCCAGCAATGGATGGCGCTTAGTAAATTTTGACATTGCAACTGCCTTTTTGAAAGGACAGGGAGATGGAAGAGCCTTGGGTCTTCATGCACCAAAAGAGCTCAAAGAAGCCATTGGTATGGGGCCAAATGACCAATGCAGCCTTCTCGGAGGAGCCTATGGCCGTGCTGATGCCCCAATTTTGTGGTATCGAACACTGCGAAAGACTCTTGAAGGTCTTGGCTTTATAGCATCACCTTTTGACGGATGCGTGTTTAGCTTGGTCACTCATGGCCCAAATGGACCTAGGGTAAGAGGCTGCCTAGGATTACATGTTGATGATGGGATAGGGGGAGGTGATGAATATTTTGGGAAGGTCATTGAACGGCTTAGGAAGACTTATGATTTTGGTGCCTACAATGAAGGGGAGTTTGAGTTTTGTGGGGTGAAATATTTTCAATGGGATGATGGGTCCATTGAGATGGGGCAAGACTCTTATATTCAGAAAATATCTCCCATAGATATCCCTCGAAAGCGCCGACAGCAGCCAAAAGAGTCACTGTCTTCGACTGAAACTCAGTCACTTCGTCAGATTTGCGGGAGTCTCCAATACGCAGCGGTCCACACGAGGCCGGACATTTCAGCGAAAGTTGGTGAACTTCAGGCAGCCATTCCATGTGGTCGTGTAGAGCATTTGATTTTGGCCAATCGGGTGTTGTTTGAAGCGAAAACAAAACCTGTGAATCTGATGATAATTCCGATTGCCGAGTCCAAGGTGACCTTCTGTGCATTCTCAGATGCCTCTTTTGAATCTGGAAATGGCAACCCAACGAGACAAGGCACCTTAATTTTCACCACGGATGGCAATCTCGCAAAGAACCAGCGAACAGTGATTTGTCCAATGGCATGGTCATCAAAGAAGATTCCGAGGGTCGTGCGTAGCACGTTAAGTGCAGAATCGGTCGCACTGGGGTCCACGTTGGACCGGTTGAGTTGGTTGAGGGTATTTTGGGAATGGATGAAGAACCCTGGAATTGACTGGTCCCAGCCTGATGTGATTTTACGACGGGCTCCTCATGCAACAGTGGCAACCGACTGTAAGTCAGTGTATGACTTATCAACCAAGACCTCAACACCTTCGTGCTCGGAATACCGCACCACCTTGGAATGCTTGCTCATACGAGAGCGTCTTCGTGAAAACTGTGGTCTTAGGTGGGTCAACAGTAGGGCCATGTTGGCTGATTGTTTAACCAAGTCAATGGATGGCGATGCTCTGAGACAAGCTTTGATGATCGGACAATATGCTCTGTTTGACGAGCATGAAGTGCTCAAGGAACGAGCTGACAAACGATCCCGACTGAAATGGATCAATCTTGGGAACCATAACGGATCATAGAGAAACCATCTGGGTGAATAATGGAGTTGATGTGAATTTTTGTGTTTTGTTTTGTTATTTTTGGATTTTTGATGAGTGTGAATGTACCATCCATTTGTATCATCAACTCATGTCTATCACATGGACATACCATGATCCACATGGTTCCATTGGGTGCTTCCAACACGTGCCGTCCGCTTCGCCGACAATGCAGCTGGGCGGGCGGGAGGATTCAACAAGGCCAGCAAAACAGGGTTTTGCATCTCAGGGTTGGTGGATAGGAATCCCCGAAATAATATCTCAGGGAGATAGTAAATTCACAATAAACGTATATATATATATATCGTATATATATATATGTGCGAATATAAACAGATGTTCCTTTCTAGATCCTTTAGTTTGATATCTAGTTCGATCCTTTCAGAATCGTTTGATGTCCCTTTAACCAAGCCGACGATTTCAGTGAAATCCGCTGAGGACCTCTTCTCCTGAGGAACGAAGGCTATGGAAGGCACCAGTGCGATGTCGAAGGGCTCCACATGTTGAAGCACCATGTCTCAGCTCCAGTTGTATGATGTTCTATGATGTTCTATGATGTTCTATGATGTTCTATGATGTTCTATGATGTTCTATGATGTTCTATGATGTTCTATGATGTTCTATGGACAGCCCAGTAAGACCTTCAGATCATGGTAGACGATTCAAGATGCCACTTCTCAAAGGAGCCAATGTGTCGAAGCTTTCGGATCAATGAATGCAGACAGTGTTTCACATATTTTAATCTTGTCATCCTTGGCCTTTTGCCATGGATGACACCAGCCATGCAAACCATGCTTCTGAGCCTTCGAAGAGCTCTGCATCTGCCAAACTCGAGATCAAAGAAAGCAGCACTGATGAGAAAGGTGGAGCTTCTATCGAGTCAAAGGCGGTGACTGAAGAAAAACCAGAAGATGTAAGAAGAGAACGCCGGACTTCATCTTACCTTGCTCGGCGGAGGCACGTGTGGGGGTAAGAGTGGGGGAGAAGAGGTCTGGATTAGTTGTGAAACAACTTCGAGAAGCTGAACATGTGTGATTCTTTCAATGCCAAAGGACTCTTGTGTTTCTGGCGTTGATAATGAGTGTGGCTGTCCTGGCGAAGCACAATTGCTCCTTTTCACTCTCAGAGGAGAAAACTGACGTAATTTCTTCATCCATCACCCCACCTCTGCAGGTTTGTTGCGGAAGAACCTTTGAATTTCCGCAGATCTGGCTATGCCCAGCAAGCGAGGCGCGACCAGCAGTTCTTGATATGCCCAATGTCCTCAGCAGCCCCCTGGGTAATCCTGCAGGCTTGGTACCTTACTGAATGGAACTGAAATTGGGTTTGTTGGAAAACATGGCCTCTATAAAATGTTTGTTCAGATTCCTAATAATGGTGATTTTGGGGATATGACACACCTAAATCTTACCCTGGACCACTGGTGGATTTTGGTTGCAGGTCCACTGGAAGATCATATGCCAGCCAAAGGGGCCGTGATCCGAAAGCTTCAGAGGTTGAGACTGCAGGACAGTGTCACTGATCTCCAGTCTTGGATAAACTCTCGAGTCTTGGTGTGATATGTGCTTTGAATCTCATCAATATGTAGAATGAATTAGAATGATGCAGAATTGTTAAATTGTAGGACATTCTCAGTATCACAAGTATGATACAAGTGCCAGGGAGACCCTTTCTTCTTGTCATTTCTTGAATTTATTCTCATGTATTCTGGACCTTCGAACATGTGTAGGATACCAAGTTGCAGCGACGGATGTGCCTACCCTTTGCACAGATCGCCGGCGCATTCGCAGTGTCTTCAAATCGCAAGTTTCGTGGGCCAAATGAGTGGGGATCAAGTGGCCAGTGGATGCGAGTGGTGCATCTTTCACAGGGATGAAGCACAAAGAAGTGAATATATCATCCATGGACCCGCTGAAGACAGCCTGATCATCAAAAACATAATTACGCCCAACAGAAATATGCAGGATCGATTACTCTATTACCCAAGTAGGCCCTGTATGGGTGGCTGGGTCCGATTAATATGCAGTAGATGGTCACGGTTTCTTTCGGTTGAGAAGGGAATGATAAAGCCTTGTCTTGATCAGTTTCCTAATATTAAGCCGAAGGGACATCTTTTGGTCCTTGATGAATGTAATCCGTTTCTACCTGCTGCTCGTACAGCTCTAAAGCATCTGCTTCAATATGTATGTATGCGATCAGTGACACACCTGTGTATGAGGACATTTATGTTTCCAGTTTCCACCGACCCTACTGAATTTGCTGCATGCTCTCAGAAACCTTCTTAGCCTCAGGATTCATCCGACACAAAAGATGGTCAAGTCACCATAGATGGACGGGTCCAAGAGACCCATTGACGGCTCGGCTTCATCTCCAGCTCTTGCTGCATCTGCATAGCAAAGGTCTGCAGAGGTGGCACTGTATCGAGCTGTCTCGCTGGTAGGATTGGTAGTCGGTACCTCAGGACATCTCAGGACCATTCAGGACCTCCGATATGGATCGATATGGGATGTGTGGCCAAGAAGTGACAGAAGTGATGCAAAAGTTGCCGAGATGATCTCCTTATGATCTCCTTCACCGTGGTCCGCAATGTGTCACAAGCCTGCCATGTGGCCATGTGATATAAGCAGAGGCCACGGATCTCAGGGCTATGCCACGATCCAGAAGATACTGTACGAGAAGCTGCGGTCCCAGAGCTGCGTGTCGAGATTGTCGAGGCAAAGTGCCCTGTCAAGAATCTTTGGAGAAGCTCTTGCGAGCAGGCAAAGAAAGACTTCGGAAGTTTGGAATTGAATAGTTTATATAGATCATCTATATGATCAATATAGATCAGTCATGATTTGCTTCACATGTTTGTGAGTCTGTTGGAGCCTGCAACTCACAGTATACCAGCCGAAAAATGGCCGCGCATCTCAGATGGCCTAGTGTCCGTTGACACCGTGCAGCGTATTTTTTGAAATGTAGCTTTGATCTCCACAAACTTATCAAAATGCTGGTGATTTGAAGACAAGGGTACAAGAAACTTCTGATATCCACTGAACCCCTGCGGATTAGATCATGGCCGGTTTCCCCCAGTGATCCAGATACATCCGTTCCCCCTGTCGCCAGTTGAAGTGCAACATGGACATCGAGCGCAGACAGCAAGAGGCCATTCAACGGCTGCAGGAGAGCGAAGGTTTGATCTGGTGCTGTGCTTATCTTGATTATCATTGATCCTAGATTTTGACCAATCAGCATAGCTTCATTGGATATCATTGGATATCATTGGATACTTAGATGATCTTAGATGCACGTGTGACGCTTGCCACGTGCCATGACTTGGTTGAAGTTCCAGGAATTCAAGCGAGCAAAGACGCTGAAGACTGAGCGTGAGCAATTGAAGCGCTGGGAACTCAGTGCCTTTGATGGACGAGAGGTAAGAAATGGATAGAAATGGTAAGAACTGATACTTCCAGGTGGGTGTTTGGCTTCCTTGTGGTAATTAGCTGGATGATCAACTTATTTGCATTTATTTGCGTTAAGCATCTTTAGTCTCTTTGCTGAGTTTATGTTTCAACAATCTTGAACCAGCGAAGCTTCTCCTTCTTCGCTTCAGGAGAGTGGCGTGCTCATCGCGCAAAGAGCTACTTGCTGGAGCAGTGCCAAAATTCAGACCTGAGAGAGTACTTGGAGTCGAAGGTGCATTTGCGGATGCCATTCCCTTGACATTCCAAGGCATGAATCTAATACGGTTCTGGTAGTACGGTAGTATGGCTTCAAAGTGAGTTTCTTCCGGTGCGCTGTCCACAGATTTTGGCTCTGGGCAGACTATCAGTATATATGATCTATCTAGTTTGATCTAATAATACGATCTAATATGATCTATATAATAAAACTTCTTATTTGATATTATTATCCAATATATTACAATCTTTTGTTATCATTTCTCGACCTACTCCAAGATTATATGAAGGCATCATCCTACCTGAAAGGAGAAGCCGCGAGCTCTTCCAAGACTTCCGCGCAAGGAGGTGAGTTGGGACGGGGCTCATGAACGATTGTCAGCTTGAGTTCATGGGAAATCTAGGAAGTCTTCATGACATTCATCCTTGACAGCCCTTCTCATTGATGACTTGGGAATTGGGCTTCAACAGGAATTCCAATCCATCTTAGGTTGTAACTCTACTCCATTCTTGTTATATTGTTAATCAAAGATGCTAAATGCCCCCATGGTATTGTTGGCAATGAGACATCATGTCTACAATCACTTTTGTTGAACCTGGTTCCCATGTTTAGCATTCTTTGTGATTGTCTTGCCTAGATTTGATGGGAAACTTTGGGGACTTCGCGAGGCTTCTTGTTGTGCCTCGCGGGTGTTGTCCAGACGCCCGGAATCAGAATCCGAGGCCCGGTGGATGTTTTTTTTTGTCAACTGAACCGTTTCAAGAATAATGATGGTTTTGTTGGCTTCCTACACGGGATGTTGATTCCTTTTGGTCGGAGTGCAGCTGCTGACCCGCTGACCAAGCACAGGTCGACAGGGAACCGAGTCTAAAGCTGAGTGACAGATCAAACAGCTGAGGCTGAGCAGCAACCTCCATTTTTCAAAAAAAAGACAAGATCCAGAAGCGCCAAGATGTAAAGTGTGCATTGCAGATCATTGCAGCGGATACCCGTTGCGCACACTATTTCGAAGTCTTGAAGTTTGACACTGGACCTTCAAAGTCGACCAGCTCAACATAATTTCAAGACACATTTTGGATCAACAATAGGCTGAAACTCCAGCTTTGTGTAATTTTTCGCAGCACAGAACAAGTCAACTGGACGGAATCAAGGCCCTCCTCCCTCAGAGCCAAGTAGTCCAAGGGTCCGGCTCGCAAGAGACGCCTGGAGCTTAGTCTGCGGTTCTACAGCTCCTAGATCTGCTGTTCCAAGTTGAAATCTTCAAATTTTATAGGTACGGGTATGGATCAAAGTTCAAATCCAAACGGGGACCCTAAATGAACAAGAATTGATTGGACTTGTTCCATATTTGGCAGGTGCACTTCCAAAAGTTTGTGTGTCAAGCTGCCATAAATATTGAGCTTGTTGCTTTGATATCTTTACAGTTTGATGCTTTCATCATGTTTCATGCCATTTCCTGGTCCTCGGATCATCATTGCTGAAAAGCCATGGACCAAGGAGACTGAGCCCCAGGAGGATGAACAGGTCATCTGTGAGGCCATGGATGGCCATGGATTTTGGTGAGTTCTTCCACCTGTTTTAATGGCTATGATTTGGGGAATGAAAAACACTTGGATAAAGCCATGGTTGTTATATGTTGGTACCTTCAAAATCAGCCTAAATTTATATAGCATAATATATTACAGCATATTATAGCATAATGATATAGATTGTATGAATATACCATTCTATAATTCTAATTATATTATATATATATATATAATTATATATATATATATATCGACATATCTATGATATCCCGTGGATGTACAGCAGGGAATGAGTGCATTGAGTTGGTGATCATCTTGCGGTGCAGGCGAGTCCTTCCATGAGCTGCAAAGAAAGCCCATCGGCGTCCAGCTCCAGAAGGCAATTCCCAGCAATTCATTGGGAATCGATAGGGGATCGATAGGGGATCGATAGGGGATCTATAGGGGATCTATAGGGGATCAATAGGGGATATGTTTGTTTATTTTTTTGCGGGTTGTCTTAAGCGAATCCAAGAGATTGGTGCTTAGAAAGCTTGTTCCATTTGGGATGACGATCCCGACTGACGAGCATATGTCTCAGGAGGCTTGAAACCGCCAAACCAGGTGTGTGCTTAATATATCTTAATATTAATATATACATAATATATATATATAATATATAATGTAATATATATAATATATCTATATTATATATCATCATTGTATACATTTGCATATAGTATTCTACATTGTTGATGAACTAAAAACTCATGTGTTGAATACAGTCATGTTTTGCTGGTTCAATATGGTTCAATCCCAAGTCTTGTTGGTCAAATCAGGGGTCCATAGCGTGTGAACGCCTGTCAGGGCAGATGTCATTACGCGATTTGTAAGCCGCGTCCTCAGCCAAAATGTGGGGTTTCATGGGGTTTCTTAAGTCATGCGGGATTTTTAAGTCACCATGGTTGTTTCAATATGGGTATGGGTCAATACCTATAGATACATTACTATAGTGGGATGACCTATTAATACCATTTTTAGGGGGTTATTCACATCCATAAATCCCAGCTATTTTGATGTGAACTACAGGGGTACTATTGGTTTTGACACACTGCCATATGTTTCAATTTCCAAGTCATGGTCATCCATGGCGACTGGATGATTTGGAGGGCACCCCCCGTGACTTTGGAAGTGGTCGTTGTTGCTGTAGAGATCCATGCCATGGCGTAAATTGTGCGTCAGGACGTATGCGAAGCGCTCAAATTGCCATGCCGGAGTCCACAGATTCGTCTTGTCGCTGCAGCACTCCAATTGCTATAATAGCAGCTATTTTGATATACTGATATACCCTCTGGTAATTTAACATAGCTATGGAAAATCACCATTTTTTAATGGGAAAATCCACTATAAATGACCATTTTCAATAGCTATGTTAGTTTACCAGAGGGTAGAAAATATGGGAAAATGCTGGTCAACATTGGTCAACATTGGTCAAACGGTCAAACATCAAATTTGAGAGTACCCTGTTTTCAGACAAACCCCATGGTGCTGGGTAAAACATCGCAAACTTTGACTCTGTGTGCGCTGCTTGTGAAAATCCACGAGGAAAACAGCGCGGCATCTTTCTGATTGGAAGCGCTTGAACTGCTGCCCACAGTCCACTTCTGTCTTTATTTGTGCTGGAGGCCGGTGCTTGGATGCCATTGAAACAAGTCTCGCCTTCACTAGGGGAGTAAAGTTGGCAAAATAGTTAGATTTTATTAGGACACTGGGATGCTACCTAATATAACTAATGTGTTCACAGATTTTATGATTATTTACTTCGGTGACAATACATTTCCTGATATTGTCGCTGTCACTTTCGCAGGATATCCTGACTTCACCAAAGCGATGTTGGCCAGAGGCTGGTTCCAGAACGAAGACAAGGACAGATTGGCCAGCTCACAACAGACAGAATCAGTGACAGCAAAACTTTGACCGTTTCATTTGTTATTGTCCATTCTAGTACCCAGAACTAGGCTTCGTGAAGTAGGATATTTGATTATAATATACATATATATATATAATATTGTATATTATATATACACATCATTGGTATATATATATATTATGTGTATATACATGATATATATATATATATATCATATATCATATATTGAAATCATCATGGAGGCCAGCAAGAGTTGAGCCAGCATGGTGAGTGAAGGATTCGCGCTTCTTCGATATGAAATGGGCTCCGGCAGCCGCCATGGATCATGACAACCTCCTACCTGGACAGGCGATAGCGCAGCCGAATCCCCAAGAGTTGGAAATTGCAGGTCTCTGGGAGTAGAATTGACTCGAACGACCCTTGCATCATGTCATTGACTTAGGAATATTTCAATATATTTCAATCAATGATTTTCAGCGTGTTGGGCCGTTTTGAAAGCAATGGGTACAACACGAACGCAGGTGGTGAATCACTTCCATGGCAGTCGCGAAATCACGACGAAGGAGCCGTCATGGGGCCTATGGGGTCATGGTGGATCCCAGTTTTCTTCAGTTCGATTTCTGCCACCATGTGGAACAATAGGCCAATAGGCGGACCCTTCAGGCACATCATTTCTCTATTTTGATCCTTTGAGTTTCATTGCGGAGGTTGGGTTGACCCTGAACCTTCGGAATTGCTTGCCAATGTGCGGTGCCGATCCTGAATCTTTCTATCCACGGGCCTACGATTTGTATGACCCTTTGGAGTGTGACAGCCCAGTGTTGCAGACAGTGTTGGAGATGTGCGGTCGGTTTCTCTCATATTCCATTGGGACGCTGACCAGCTTCAGAATGCCTGGATTTTTTCAGCAACTCAGAGACACAACGCACCGAGGAGAGCTGACTTTGCATTGAATTTCAAATTCACCAAGGCGGGTTTTCGTGATTTTTCACTGGCTCCACTGGCTCCACTGGCTCCACGAAGTTTCAGAACACACACTGCTCTAGGCTCAAGCCATTCTGCGAGAGTTCTTAAGGAACATTGACTCCCAATCTGCGGTCTCCTCAGTCCCTCGGACCATGCTGCCCATCCAAGATTCGCCGATCTTAGTGTTGAAACGATTTTTTTTTTAAAGTCCCCCCTTGGGAAATAACATGAAATAACTTGAAACGACACCATATATTTCCTATATGGGTTTGGCCGAAAATGGTATGCACCTATCAAATGGCAATTTTGATTGGACTATGATAGCTAAACCGCGATATATTTTTTTGGGTGTACCCATTTTCATTTGAGCCCATATTGGTATTATACACTTGACATGCCAATAAAAACGGCAGAGCTACCGAGGGCATGACCTTTGGCTATGATGTGGTGAGCACATCCTTCAAGGCGACGTCCTCATGGCAGCTGAAAATGTGGGATGACCCCCCATTGGAAAGTGAGGACACGCCATAGAATTTTTGGGGTACTCTATTTTCATTTAAAAACATCTCCACTACTCAAATGAAAGATGTTTCATATCCTGTTGCTTGGAGTGAGTCAGTGAGACATGTAAACCCTAAAGTTCAAGCTCAGTCTGCACAGACATCGATACAAAAAATATATAGTTTTGTTTCATTGCAGGTTTCTGCTGATAGATTCCACCATCTGATGATCTTACCATCACTGTCCCATCTCTCCACTGGCCCGGCAGATTTGTTTGCGGCTTGTGACGGATCCAGCAGAGATCATGGACTGCCCAGAAATGGCAGAAGCCCTGGCGCATGTCTCAACTGAGGAGCCAAAAAGCCTTTGAATATCTTTGAATCATCTCCTGCATCATTGAAGATTAGCACTACATGTTGGCTTAAGATAGAAGCAGAGAGAAATCTCATGAAATCTGGGAATAGATTGATATATAGATTCTTTAAAACCTAATTATTCTTTCATTTTGGGGGAATGAACATCCATCTACATCTACCAGCTATTTTGGAGTTAACCAGATTGCAAGGGTTTTGACTCGCCATCTCCACTGGGTGATCTTGTGAGGAGTGGTCATTGCTGGAGCAGGCACGAGCCTTATGCTGTGGGGACTCTATCCATGGGGCAGTGATACTGCAGGCACTGTTGCAGATGTTTTTATATCTGAAAATAGGATACCCGTACTTCATTTCATTTATTCCATCCACTGGTGAATCATCACTTTCCCTTTGAAGATAGCATAAGATAGCCATTTTGGGGGCAGACCTCGGGACATGGCAAGCCCGGCAGGTGTGTTTAGATGACTGTACTCAACGTTTGGAAGGTTCGCAGCTAGTCCTGGGTGCTTCTGTGTGTCGGCACAGCATAGAAATTGAGATTTTTTACCATCAAATACAGAGATTGAATGGGATTTAACCATCCAACATGTGGATAGATTAGATATCGATTACAATACTGTTACTGTATATTATCTAATTATGATGATATACTGTATGATATACACTTAACATTATGAAGTTCTGTTTGTCTGAAAATGGGGGCACCCTATTTTCAGGCAAAACCAAGTGATGTTTGACTGACCCAAAAGTTGCACTTTGTGTTTGCAAGCTTTTTGACGCGAGGGAACATTCAGTGAGTCAACCCGGCAGTTTGGATTAGTGACAGTGCAACTGAACAACTCTTGAGTGTTGAGGTGCTTTGAATGCAGAAGATTTACATGACTTCATTCACAAAAGGCAGGGATCCCAAGGGACTATGGCAAGTACTTTGCAAGCCATTCGATACTTTGTCAATTTGGTGACATTGTGAATCATGATGTGGTTCAAGAGTCTACTTTTTGATTGGAGGACTGTCAGGCAAAGGGTCTTGGCATCGCATTTTCAGCACTGGAATCGGAATTCTCAATGTCTTGGATGTTGCCGTCCAGGAATGTGCCAACTGAAGCCATGCGAGAAAGAGAGAGGAACAAGGACGGGCAGAAAGATATGAAACGCGGAAACACCATATCAGGGCAAGACAGGTGACACTCCAGCTCAGGAACCATGCAGTTCGTCAGTTCCAGTCCTTCAATTGCTCTTTTTCTGGGAGCAACAAGCCACATTCAGATGTTGTTGTTGTTGTTGTTGTCGTCGTAATTGTTGTTGTTGTTGTTGTTGCTGGTGGTGGTGGTGGTGGTGGTGGCGGTGTTGTTGTTGTTGTTGTTGGCGGTGGTGTTGTTGTTGTTGGTGGTGGTGGTGGTGGCGGCGGTGGTGGTGGTGTTGTTGTGGTGCAAGCGAACAAACAAAAGGGAAGCGGACTAAAATGTGAAAAAAGAACAGAGAAGGAAAGAGGGGAGGAGGAGAGGAGAAATAAATGAAAACAGGAAAAGAAGAAAGGATGCAACGGGCGAATCTTGAGGGAGTTGGGCTCAGCTTTTCAATGCCACCATTTGCCAAGGCAACAGTTCCATCGGTCACACAACTCACAAAACAACATAACAACGTTCTGCAAGCATCTAGCTAGCATCTAAGGATGGGCGCAGCTTGACATCTTTAGTGAAGCCACCCTCTCTGCATTTCCAGGGTCAGTTTCTACATCTTGAAGAACATTTTAAACTTCAGCAATCCATTCTCCCGTTCTCCTGTTCATTTTGTGCATATTTTGGAGGCGCCACGAGCACACGGCTGGACAGATGGACGGATGGACCTTTCAGTGGTACTGCCATGTTGGATGGCTGCAGAGATGCACCTCCCTACCTGGCACTCTTTAAAAAGTAATCATTAGTCTGAATCAGAAGTCCTGCAATGTCCTACACTTTTGTGCCTTCCTGAGAGATTTGCATAGAAGTCATCCACTTTGTCTTCCTTCAGCTCAGCAGGAAAAGCGACAGAAAGAGAAGGAGAAGGACAAGATCCTCAGTGCCATTGAGGAGAAGAAGAGGAAGAAATCCAAGGCTTTGCCTCAGATGACCAGCAAGAATCGGGTTTGCCCCCCCCAAAACCAGTGATAAATCAGAACATGATCATAAATGAGAGTCCCCATTTGCAGACACACCCATCGAGAGACCTCCGGGCCTCTTCTGCTGAGGTCAAGAAGTCGTGCAGCGCCGTTTCGCTAGCAGCTCCTGTATCCACTTTCAAAGGCGACGGGCGACCGGTCATAAAATATTCTTGTTTTGTTAGGTGCGATGTTTTGAACATACCTGCTAATAGGGTTTTAATAGGGCAAACGATTTGCTGGTGCTGATGTCATACAGAATAGTGCCACTTGAGGCATATTGAGACTACTGTACTTGATGTTGATACAATATCCAGTATAGATTTAATAGTCAGATGTCTTGAACTGTAAGGCCGCCTCTTCCATCGCAAAATCAGCCTTGGCTCATAGCCAGGCTTGAGGGCAGAGCACCTCATTGCACAAGTGCGAGAAGTACTTGAAGAGATGGACACCACCAACAGGTGCAGTTCAAATCATTAAGTCGTCGTTGGTTTCTCTTTGCAGCTGAGTGTCCAACAGAAAATTCCTTGAGTGTGGTTGTGAAAAGTGATGAAGAGTTGGTATTTTGATGTATGTTCTTCATCTTCACTTTTGATAGATCTTTTGATCTTGAAAAGATACCTGAAAATTCTCCAGGCAATTTGGCATCAACGGATGTCGCAATGCTTGGATCGTCAAACCTTCCGGCAAGTCGCGCGGAAGAGGGATCAAGGCATGGTGAGACCAGTGGATGACCAGCATGGAGGTTTATCCCGCAAAGAGGAATGCAAAACTGTGAAGGGGTATACCAAACAGACACCGGTGTTTCCAAGCATTGGGAATATTGGCATCTTAAGACAATCACTGGCGATAAACGGGATACATATAGAATCATGTAAACAGCAACAATATGTCGCCGAAGCGGCTGAAGGAACAGAAATACAATGAAACTTAATGAAACGGATGTGGTCACCTAAAAAGATCTAAAAAGTCCATTGTTTTGAAAGTTTCAGAAGGGGAAGGCGCTATATGTGTCCTTCAGATTCAAGAGATTGCTGGCCCGCAAGGTGATGAGAGAGCTAGACGAAATCTTTCGGCACTGCGAAACCGATGGCTTCCAATGGATTTGCCAAAAGTACATTGAAAGGCGGGATTGATTGCCAAGACTGAACAGACATCAACAGATATTAAATACAGACAGAGTTCATAACAGACAGAATTTTGACAAAGATTATTTTGTCTTGGCATCCTTGTCGAGCACGGAAGATTTGAATGTGTCGAGAATTACAGTAAATTTTTGATACTCAGTGCGTTCTTCAAGTAATTTTACAGTGAGCCGATTTTATGGATTCCATTCTGGCGCATGGTTACTCCAGGTCCTGGTAGGCAAGTGTACTCGTAGCACTAGATTCGAGGGGTTTAGAATCCAGCGCCACGCAACACTCCCTTTTAAGCACACTAAATTCTTAGGAGAATGACCAAGAAAACTAAGATAGCATATCCTGAGTCTACTTTCGCTAGCTTTCGCTGAAGCTTCTATCAGGTTGACATGTTATCCTCAGGCCACAGCTGATCCATGGCTATAAGTTCGATATTCGGCAGTGGGTTGGATGCCTAGAGATGGGTGGAGCTGGGCTGAGTTTGGGAGGACTAGGCATTTGGTTGGGTTGGGTTGGGTTGGGTTGGGTGGTTGGTTGGTTGGTTGGTTGGTGTTTTATGTAATAGTGTTGGTATTGTTGATATTGTTGATATTTAACCATTCAGATTCAGAACCATTCATTTTAAGGGATGATCTACCCATGCATTTGTTGGTCTGCTTCGCCCAGGTGCTGGTGACGGATTGGAACCCATTGACAGTCTATGTTTGGTGCCTGACCTTAGCTGCCTTAGCTTGGTAACGCTTTGGTGTCCATCAGCTGGTTGGCTGATATCTAAGTTGATTGCCTTTGTGCCATTTTGTGCCTATGTCTAAGGCTAAGGTGTCAATCATATTCCACAACTATACAATCGGTGCATTGTGCGTAATGAAGTGTTGCTATCTCAACAGCTGGCACCCCCAGGAACCAGCCATACCTCAGATTTGCCGGTCAAAAGTATGATGAGACGTTGTCTGACCGCAGTGAGTGCGCCCGCATTTGTGCTGCTGGAACCACGAGCACTTGTTTCCTTCTCCTTTTCCTTGAGTTTAACCAGTGGATTACGTTTGCTGAACCCCTTCCATGCTTGGCAGTTTGTACACGTGGACAGGTATGTTCACCTGGTTAACAATTCCATCATCAAACACATGGAGGGCTTCAAGATGAAGAATGAGGTGAGTCTCCGCGCCTACTTGCCACGCTGTGTAAATGCAAATGCAACTGGCTCTGTCTAAACATGAGCTGGCCCCAAAGAGGTCGTCGTCGTCATCATCGTCATCATCGTCATCATCATGATCATCATCATCATCATGATCATGATCATGATCATGATCATAATCATCGTCATCATCATCATCATCGTCGTCGTCGTCGTCATCATCTAATCATCGAATCATCGAATCATCGAATCATCGGATATCATCATTCTTCCCAATCACTTCATCTACATTGGCACTATTTTGGGGCCAAGCCATGCCATGGTATACCCTATGAATCAACCCATCGAACCCCCGGGGCTCCTGTGATACTGTCGCCGAGCAACAAAGGACCTCAATGCACAAGGCTACATGTGGTTTCGACAGCAGTATGAGGCGGTGGAACATGAGGGAATGGCCATTTAAGAGTGGGAGGTGATTCGCCAGTGGACAAAAATGGGGTACTTCATTCTTGGACGAAACCATAATGATGACTGTAGGATACTGTAAGATTGTGGATTAATCAATCTCCATCATCCGGTCTATTTTGATGTGGATGATGTGGTTTCAACTTCCTGCCGCGTGGTTTCCCTGTGGCACATTGACAGGATTGGCTGCATGCACGCTTCTGCAAGTGCTCGCAGCATCGGACGCCATTTCTGAAGATCTGTTCTCAGTGCGTAGCACCATGAGGCTATCGGTGCGTCAACACCACTTCAAAACCTTGGCAATTTCCTGGTTTCCATGGATGTTCAACCCCCAATTCAGATGGAAAATTATATATATATATATATAATTTATATTTAATATTAATATAAGTATAAATACACTATATAAATATATATATATATAATACAATTACAATAATTACGTATAAAATACTATCTAATACTGGTTAACACAATAGTATGTCAAAATATATATATATATATATAATATAATCATATACAGCAACAGCTCCATCAGAACTTTGCCTTAAGGTCGCCGCCCTACACCTGCGAAACCTTTGGTGTGCGCTGGGAGGATGTGAAATTTACAGCGAAAGAGGAAGACTCTGATGATGAGGCCCTGAGACCTGAGATGGCCTGATGTCGCGGTGATCCTTGTGGTGTGGGTCCAGCTGTAGCAGCTGCACTTTGAAAGGTTGGAATATGTTGGAATCAATGATTCTCTGAAAAATCAAAGGTAGCATTGTTTGAAATGGTGATAGATCTCATACATCAAGGTCTAAAAGGTGTCATTTTGCCTGTTTGGATTTGGTTCGATGTTGGACAGTTGCTGCATCAACCCACCTTTTGTTTCCGATGCTTTGCGGATTGCGAAAGTGGATCCAGGATAATTCCAGGATCATGCTTGTCCAATCTAGTCCATGTTGGTCAAAGAAGGTAGTTTGTCATCCCTCAGGTGTGCGACCCATCTGAAGAGGTTCAAGAGAGCAGCAATCCACCTGAGAGGCAGCCCACACCATTCATTGCTTCAATTGCTGTGTTTGTCTCTAGATATGTCACATGCGCAACAGCAGGATTTGTTCTTACATCCCTGCAGTCAAAACCAGGGCATATTTGTGTACAGATGAGGCCTAAAACAGCAGTTACCCAACCATTCAGACGTCACTGCGATATGACATGGTATTACGATGGAATTGTCAGCTTTTCAGCTATTCAGGATTCTGATTCTGGAACCTATGAAATGCACAAATCGCATATACTAAACATGATGGTGAACCTCCCTGCAGACGAATTGTGTGACTGTCTGTATGTATCCACTGTACAGGTGAAATATGTTTGAGGCATCACTTAGATTCGCTTTGGAGGGCTGATCAGCGTGAGGCAAAGCAGAGAGGAAGCATCCACAGAAGCAGGCCGCGGACTGGCCCCGGTTGTTTGATGGGACTTTGTATTATTTTGTTGATGTTTAATACTCATGATGGTGAGCCCCTAGGAACCAGTCTGCACTAGAGTCTGGAAATTGTTCCTCTGTTCCCAATCATGCACGATAATTCAGTTTCTGTCATATCGTACCGCATCAAACAGGCATAGCAAGATTGGCACTTCAGATGTTCAGATGGTTCCAAAGAATGAAGTCTCCATGGTCTGAGATGGTGCAGCTCCTGCTGCGTGTTGGATGGTCCAAAGTGCCACTTTTCCATCGCAGGATCGCAGTCGCCATCCTCGTCCGAGGAGGAACAGCATGGGCCAGCGAAGGTGGCCAAGTTGCAACCAGCACAGCGGTGCTATGATTGAGAGAGAGGTTTTGTATAAAGGGAAACCATGGTTTCGACACCTAAAATCTGAAAAAATATTGCTGTAAACTTTCCCTTCGGCCCTTCAAGCAATTCTGGAAAATGAAAGGATGGTCGTTGCTGCAATGGAGTTAGGAAGGCACAATGGAGTTTGGGAATCAACATGTCAACAACTCGTTTACCTGTGGCATCGCTTGCTGACTCCCTGGCCCATCCTAGCCCATCCTGGTGTAAGGCAGAGACTGCAGCGATGCCAGCTATGAGCTGAGATACATCACTTCTGAAGAGATTAATGTGGGTAAAACAATAATAGACCATTCCCAATTTCACCATGAATAGTATAAACCCTTCTCAAATGGGTGGTTTATTATTGTTATATTGTCGTTTTACCCTCATTAGTTTGTACCCACTGAGGACTTTGCTGATGATCTTCCAGGCCCACAAGCCATGACCGGGTTATGAAGCGCTAAGCCTTAGGTCATGGTGTCGGAATGTGGAGCAAGTGGCCATTCAAAATACCTTTTAGGATTGGTTATGATTGGTTGATATAGGACTTATACTACTGGTACCTGAAATATTGGGGATTGTGACGGCCCATAGTAGGAAAACCTATCAACCAACATCAACCAACCAGCATAATGAGATGGGATAGGGATATTTTTCAATATTTTTCATGGCTCAAGTGGAAAGATTTTCTTGATGAATTGGAGATGTTCAATTCTTCATCATGACAGGGCGAAATGGACAGAAGGTGAGTGATGATGATGAGTCTGTGGTGGATCTCTCAGCAAAGCTTGTTGCGTAAACGTGTTTTCGTCTGTTGCACCGATCTTGTGCCAGCTTGGTTTGAAATAAACAGGAATATGGTGTAGATGATTGCGGTACTGACAGCAGGCTTTTCCACACTGACACCTGCAATCACTGCGTTTGCATTACCAAGACTGTCTGCGAGAACCTTTGGGACAACATCCGGCAGCAGATGGAGAACATTATCAGTTGGCCCGGAGCCTTGACATTTTCGATGAGAGCACAAGACCCAAATGGTGAGACAAGCTTTACCTAAGGAGCTTAAATGATGTCAATCATTGGTTTCCTCAGCATGATGTGAGTCCCGTGTTTCGTGTTTTTCGCCAAGGTCATTGATGTGCGTTGTGGATGGGATTCAGCACAGGAAAAGATCAGCCATGACCTAAGACGGCTCCCAGCTGCTTAGATGCTGAGGCCACCTGCCCAACCTTCATGATCTTTCTGCAGATAGCTGTCCTTCCTGTTTCAGCCAGTTTCTTTGTTCATGTTCGCCTTCCAAGTTCGAGCTCTTTGGCTACGACTTCATGGCGCGAAGAGAGAGCTGCTGTCGTGTCAAATGTTAACCACCAGCTACAGAACCCCTGTAAGAGATAAGAGTTGGCAGGGACCAATGCAGAGGATCATACCATATTGTTCGATTTCTGGCACTCCAAAATATTCTATCTATCTTGGGAAGACCAGGTTCTTCAAGCAGGTAGCATGTGTTTGTGTGCGTGTACGTGTTAGTATGGTCTCAAATCCAGCAGCTGATGGTCAGTCACGTGTACAACAGTTTAGTGCGTCAGAGCTGCTGACTTCCAGTGGAATGACAGCAATCCAACTCAGCTTGATCATTGCTTTGTCTTAGATTTGCTGAAGGTTGAAGGTGTTATTGTTTCATATCGTTCTCATATTTTTCCCATTGGTCAATCCACCAGAAAACTGCCAACATTCCCACTGGTTTTGCTTATTTGTTCTGGCCCCCTGCCAAGTCCTGGAAGTAGATGAAGCCGATCGGCCCTATGGAATGATCTCCCATCTCTGATCAGATTGGCGACGGAGTGAATGACCGACCTGAAGTGTGGTTGATCGAGGCTGGAATCAGATGGAGAGGATGAAAACCATGGAAAACCTATGGCATCCGATGATATCCTATGGCCAAAATGGTCAAAGCATAGATTCTTCTCCCGTAAAAGGGGAAGGTCATCCATAAAATTCATAGGGCTTTGCTTCATGTTTAATGAATATGCTCGTATTTCGTAAGGAATTTTCTGAAAGACTGAAAGACCCATATTTGGCAATTCATCCCTGCCCTATAAAACACTATAGTCTCAGAGTATCATTTGTTGAACGATCCATCCCCTCCAGCAGCAACAGCCATGCTGGCCATGCCGGAAGGTGAACTCTTCACCCGCCTGTGACTATTCTACCCCAGTGACTTGCCCATTGGCACAGCCCTCAGTTCTTCTGCCAATGTCAGGGATGAAGCATGACTCAAGAAATCAGTCCTCAAAAGGAACGCAACCGGATGTTTTTAGTAGAAATTCGACTATACCTAACCCCAAGCTTGTATTCTGGTCGCTTCGCGACGACAACCGCCCGCACCGGAGTGTTAGCTCCGGAGTTCCCATAAATAAAACCATATGTTCTATGTAGGGCGCATGTTGGGAGTATGTTGGGCCCATGTTAGCTCTATGTTGGGCCAATGTTGGCTAATGTTGGCTCTATGTTGGGCCGTGTTGGGTCATATTGATGGGCTCATGTTGAGCCATTTTGTGCCTTTGTGTGGGCCTATGTTGGGCCTATGTTGAGGCATGTTGGATCATCTTGCGCCTATGTTGGGCCTATGTTGGGCCCATGTTGGGCCCATGTTGGGCAATGTTGAGGCGAAGTTTGGCAACTTAGCCGATTTAAAATCACAGGATTCTAGAGCAAAAATAGACCCCAAAGCTACAGCTTAATAGCTATTGTGATTGTAATTGCTTCCGGTGAATAATACAATCGGCACACGAAAAAACCTCGGCACCTTCGGTGGATGAGATCGCTCCAGGTGAAGCAGATGATGGAAGACCTGGCCAAGGTGGTCGTGGACTCTAAGGAGGATGCCTCCGCCCCCACGGGAGAGTTGGGATTCCCGACATGACTATTTTTTTGTTGGGGGGGAAGCCGGGAAAGCAGTGGAGTTTGCCGGATTTTGGGTGTAAAACAAGACAAAACCAGGAGTTCTCTAGTGGAAGTGGGGATTTCACCATGATTTGTTTTTTTTTTCCCTGGTGGAATTATTGAACTGGAATTTCATGATGATTTCAGGATGGATGATCACATCACCGTTGTTTTAATTAATTGTAGGAGGACCCAGCGTAGTTCCCTTCAAATGGTAAATTGCATGATATCTATAACTAATGGTAGTGTCACCGATGGTGCAGAACCCCCCAAGCAAATAGAAAATTCCCGTCCGGTAATTTAACATAATAGCTATGGAAAATGTCCCGTTTACAGATTATTTGCCCAGTAAGAGTGGTGATTTTCCATAGCTATGCTAAATTACCAGAGGGTACAGTACAGTCGTTCTCCTGTGGCTGATGTAGCGGGGATTAGGTGGCAGCTGCTTCAGCACAGCTACAGCAAGCCAGTTGCCAGCTCAGCTTGGCCTTTGAAGCTTTACATATCATGAGCCGGTTGATTTGTGCGGGAAAAATGGGGTGAAGGGTAGCCCTCGTTTCTTGCAACCCAACTTACACCAGGTTCCAGGGAGAATGGGTTTCGCTTCGAACTCGCAGCTAGAAGTTCTTGGAAAAAAGATGAAGGTTCCAAAGGCAAGGCTCCAATTGAGCCTTCGGTTCGGTGCTGTGTTGGATCAACAAGGAGCAAGTTTTGACCACAAACCCTGGATCCTGAGTGGATGCCAAGCCAATATCGTACAGGATTTTGTGTTTCTGATGGAATATTAACAACAGTCAACATGGTGCAAATGGCTTTGTCTGAAAAAGGGTACCCCAACATCCCATGATCATTTTCCCCATTAGAATCATTAGAATGGCTATTTTGGGGGTATCCCCAGTTTCACACAAACCAGCACTTCTGCCTGGGAACTGCTTTGCTTGTCAGCCATGGCCAGGCGGTGAAAAAGAAGAAACGGAAATCCTCGAAGAAATCGACCGAGTCCCGTCCTCGAAATGTGTCGGGTCCAAGCTGTAGGTTAGCTGTTCAGGGAGCTGTTCAGGGCATGACATGTAAAAATTCTGAACAAATGACTAGTTGAGGTGTCTGAAATTGGGGTATACCACCCAAATAGCCATTTTATGGGAGAATTGTCCTGATGATCCGTGGGTGCCTTGGGCCGCTCACAGGGCGCCAAAGGAGAATGATGAATGCGGGAAAGCTCAGATCTTTCAGAATCCTAACATGTGCCATGGACAAAAGATGTGTATTTTATTGTATTTTCCTCCATATAAGGGGATGGTTATCAATATTCAATCAATATTAATCAATCCATGAACCGGTGGTAATCTACGAATTGTAAGGAATCCTATGATGGTGGAATGACCAGGGTCCCCATTCATGCCCCGAATTTTGATCATGGATGTCCTTGGGAAGCCACTGGTTGGTTTCATTGGGTATACCAAACCGAGCCACTGCAGATCTACCATGACCTACCTTGATCTCCTTGAAGACCAGCTGATTAATTCTTCAGCATGTTCCGAGCAGAAAGGTCATTATCATCGTCATCGTCATCTAGGTGTACAGCGTTTTTCCATCCATATTTTACATCATTTTTCACCTTATCCAGGTTGCAGCTGCAGGTGTGGCCGAGGATGAGGATGCCGAGGATGAGGATGATGAGCAGTGACCTAGAGCTCACTGCAGCGTGAACTGCTGGCAAAGCCAGGACTTCAGTACCATACAGCACAGGAATCCATGCCCCAAGCTTTCTGGCAAAAGATTTGAAAGCAATGAAACTAAGTATTGCGGAAATCGCGGATTTGTATGCCACTGCACCTTGCTGGAAGCTCTCCCCTGCAAGACATCTATAGCGATGGGTTTCACCTCTAATGCTCCGCATGGTATTTGCCAAAGGCAAACGCAGTGCAGTAGGACCCACAGCAGTGTCGAGAAGAACTTGCTGGATCCTGGCAGATAGTCAAGGATTTTCCCCATCCAAGGACATCAAGCTGTGCGACAATTTATTCAAAACAGCAGACCATGGCCAGTACTCTGCTAAATTTTACCATATGTTACCTAAGCACCTCCCAGCTGTTGAATCTTTGACACCAGCTGTGCGGGAGGTTTCAGTAGGACTTTGAATTGAGTGACTGCTTAGCCACTCAAGTCGTAAAGGTGTCCTATTTAATGGGTGTTTTGCGTTGGTCAGAAAAATGTGCGAAGGAGAGAAAAGTCCAGTCACTGGAGTTTTTTTCCATACCATTCAAATGTCGACCAACCGAGACTCCTGTGATGCACAGTGGAGCACAAAAAGCATCCACTCAAGCACCGGAGTTGTTTCCACGGTGCTTTCCAGCAGCTCGCACAAAAAGCTATGATCAGAATTCGGCATGTTAACGCTGGCGTGTGACCGTAGTCAGCTCAGCACAAATGATCCGCACAACAATAGCATTTTTCTATGCAGCCAAAGTGAGATCCGCTGCGGATTTGCATTTGGTCCATCCCAAAGGGTAAGCTACTTGTATCTCATTTTAGGATGGTTCTGCAATGTTCTGGAAAATGGGCAGGTTTTCCACAACTCGTCTACGTCACAATACGTCATGTCCAAATGCATTGCTCATTAGTACTTTATTGGCTCCGGGAATGCAGCAAAGCTGCACCTGCCTGGTCGGGCCCTAAGCTTCTAGAAACCCATTCTCGCACCGTGGTAGACATCGTCCCACCATTGGCACCCATTGATCACCAGGATTGCGAATGCTGTATATAGGAGTGTAATGAAGTGTGTCTCTTCCAAGCATGGAAGGTTCAAAGTTTCGTTTTGCAAGATAGCAAGCAGAGTGCAAGGATTGCAAATGTGAATGGTTCCAAAATGTTCCAAATTGCAAGCGAATCAACTGCTTCCATCACTTCAGGCAGCCTTACTACTGTTGTCAGACTATCGGTCTCCTGCAGCCCATTTCTCTGGCATCACTAAGGCATGTATGGTCATATACACATCATTCTCAAGGACACTGCGTCGCCTATTTAATTCTATTCCTTGCGACAGGACAATGAGAGTCTTAAGTTTAGTCTTCAGATTGGACCCTTGACTTGAGGTCCTGGGAGGCTATTCCATGAAATCTGCCTAAATCTGCCTTAATGTTCATGACTTTTGGAAACCATTGTATCCTGGTGAACATCCAAAACTGAATGAAACATAGCATGTAAAACCAAACAAAATTAGGATGTGAGTCAACCTTTTCTTGGGCGATTCATTTTGAAAGTGACCAACAGCCGCTTTTTCCTGTGGCAGTCCACGTAGGATCTGATTAACGTATCCTTTTCTGCGGAGAAATGGGCCGAGATTTTGGCGCGCTCTGGGTTTGAAGAAGAGCAGATCCTGGAATCCGTGCAGCATCCGGATGAAGCGCCTAGACACAACTGGAGCTCTCAAGTGTTTGAAGGTCTTTGAGATCCCATGAAATCATATAAAATCATATATATTATCATATACTATAAAATCATATAAAATCATATAAAATGGACTCCATGCTGCGACACGAGGTCAGTTTCCAGCTCCTGGGTGCCACATGCGAGGTTACAGGCCTCGACCTGGAAGATTCCTGGCAGAGTGGCACCCCCAAGTAAGTTGGTTAATGACTGGGGTTGAAGGATCTACAGTTGGGGCGGTCAACAAACTGGTAGCATGTGATAAAAGAATTATAAAAGCTTTTATAGATGGGCCCCACTTTGTATGGGTCAAAATATGTCAAAATGATTTTGACCCCAAAAGAATCAATAGTTTATATCATTGGTTGATTGTTGTTTTTTTCCCTATATTGAAGTGGCCATAGAAACCCCATTTTGAGACAAACCCAGTGGTTGTTGCGCGTTTGAATCCTGTTGGGTCACGACATTTACAATGCAATTCACAGACATGAAGTGGCTCTTGGAATACTGATTGTTGATGTTACTCGATGTTACTCAATGTTCGACAACAGATATCACCCTGATGATTCCCTTGATACGTATGTTATCATAGTGTGCTGTATACCTTTGGTCTACACTGTTTGGACTTCACCTGCACAGCCTGCACAGTTCCTCCTTAAATCACGCTTGGCGTTCTGAAGTTCATTGGTAAGAAACTCCCAAGGAAGTACTCGAAGCGTTTGGTCGACACTTTATTGAGTTCACCTTGCAATCTGGGTACGGGCGCCTGTTCAAGGACGCGAATGGGACCATGCTGTTTGACTACAACTTGGGCTGGGTAACAATGGCTAAGTAGCTTTACAACAGCTATACTTGTAGCTGTCATGGCAGATCATGGCAGATACACCTATTTTAATATATTATATATTATTTTATGTGTTTTGTTTAATGGTTGAACCTTCTCTAGTAGTGGTGTCAGGGACTTATTTCCAACATGCCGGAGAAGTGATGCTGCAGATTGGCATGGGTTCAGGGATGTCTCGCGCTGCTAGTTTGGGTGGAAGCATGGTTACTTTTTAGAATCTTCGTGGCAAGCTCGCTGAGAGGTTCCAGCCGACTGGTTGTAGGAATACATCACCACCTTTTGGGGTAAAAGCAGGCCAAGTCGACTGCCTATTCTTCGTGCCCCTAGGGACTCATCAGGGCTTCGCAGCCGTAAATGCTGCGGAACACAAGCACATTGCCAAGGCATCGTATTCAATAACCTAGGCAAGTGCGATTGAAAGATGCTGGACAATTAAGGAAAAAAATGCAAGGAAAGAAAAAATCCTTGTCCAGTGTTTTTTCCTGTCCAATTTGTTTTTTGTTTTGTGAAACTCGGCAGGCCTTGGGAAATTCGTTCCCTTCATTCGTGGCGAATGTGAATTATTTACACAACCATTTAGAGCGCCAGCATCCGCATGCTCTGCCCCTTGGCCAGCTGGTTGATCTCACAATTCCTGTGGTTCTGTTTCGATATATATAGTCCATCCCCGCGATGGTGTAGTGAGAGGACAACTCATGGTATGTTCCAGCGGCAGGATCTGCTAAAGTTGTGGCCAGCATTTGCTGAGGTTTCCTTACATCGAGGTAGTCCACGAAGATGGCCAAAATAGCATGGAATTGCATTATTCATCCACTCGCTCCGGGATGAAAAAGATCGTTGTGGGAACTTTGACCGAACCTTGATCTGAATTTATGGTGAATTGGCACCTTTTGTCTTCCTGTTTTTGTTGTTTTTACATGTTTTTTTACTGCCCAAAAAGTCGTCAACAGGAGCTCGGCCGTCAGATGTTCGATCTGGAAGTCAGCATGGTGGAGCAACAGAGTCCACGATACTTTCAGAGGGACATGGTGAACTCAGGTCACCGGGCTGCTTCGTGGTGCGTCTCTTGGAAGCCCGTTGAAGGCGTTACCAGCTCATCCAGCTCCAGTTCCCGGCAGGCGAAGATGTCCTTCCCAGAGCTGCATTTTGCCATGATGGATTTGGGAAAATTCTTGAACTCCAGCTTCTTTGATCCCTTTTCATGCTGCCGTCAACAGTTTCAGCTTAGAGAGTGCATCTCAGCGTCGCCAAGTGAAGCTGAGCGAAAGTTCGCAGAAGTGCAGGGTCTCAGTTTGGATCGGCAAGAGGAGATACTGCTTCGGGCCACGCCCGCCTCCTGTTTGGCCGCCGCATGGACGGATGACCACATGAAATTCTTGGATTTGCTGAGTTGGCGTTTTGTTGTTTATTTCCCACAATTAAATCTACAAATTTGGATCAATTTGGGGAATCTATAGGAACACGTCTTTTTCTGGGTGAATTTGTGTTTTGCAAAGTTGAGGAAAACATGCAGAAAATTTTGGAGTTCTTCAGTTGGCACATCATCGAACTATGCCTTGTCTCATGATGCAGACTGGGTTGACGTTTTTGTGAGCCACAGTTGGCAACCGCCAGTGGATTGGGAACAGATGATGGGCACCTCGGCCGAGTTTGCACCAAGCCATTGTATGGTGCGAACATTGAAACGCGGTGTTGACATGAATTTTCGTGATGTACAGAAGATGTACCCTCTGGTAAACTAACATAGCTATTGAAAATGACCATTTATAGTGAGTTTTCCCATTAAAAATGGTTATTGTCCATAGTTATGTTAGTTTACCAGAGGGTACTTTAATTATCTTAAATTGATACATAAAAAAGTGATCTATGATTTTACATCCACCAGGGAAGTTGATCACTTCGGCAATCTTCGGCATCTGGAGGCCCTGATGTAGACTATGCCGAGATCAAGGCAGCCACTTTGGCAGTAATGGCCAAGGATGTTGCCACGGCGCAACGAAGTCTACAGGAATGGGGCCAGATCACTTTTTGGGTCGACAAGGCTGGGCTGACCAGGGAACACGGCCATCCTTTCTGTTCGTTGATTTGTTTCATCATCTGTAACTGTACTTTCAGAAGTTTCAACATATTTATTGAACATGACAATCGACAATTTTAATAGGTAAATAAATGTAAATGATATGATATAATATATAGTATGCACATATTAAATCGTTCATGAAGAAATTTTCCAGGGCATGTTCCTTTGGCATCGACTTTGTGAGGCTTGTATTGCTCAAGATCATGCGGAGCTGAAGGCAATGAGCATCAAACTCCTGGACAATTTCATCGCCAAGTGCGACAGCATGTGCGTTCTCTTCACATGGACATACCTCGAGCGGCTTTGGTGTGTGTGGCTGGGCAGAATTGTTAATAGAAAGCAGAAAACAACCTTAAAGATACAGACAAAGCATGACAAAGCCATGGATTCGCCATCGGATTCATTTTGTTACTAGAGATTCTGATTTGCGCTGATTTGTGCAGTTTTTTTGTGGCCTTCCGAATCCTAGGTACGAATGGGCCTGCGTTTTGGTTCACAAGCCCACAGAGAAAGTTCATTTGCAGACGGAACTCTTTGTCAAAGAGGAGCAAACCCTGGGATGAGAAACAGACGTTTCAGAATGAGGGGATATGAGGGGCTTGAAGGCGGAAGGGAACGAAGATGCTAATTGGGCAATAAAAAGGCAATAGAAAGATGACTTCAGACAGTCTTTCATTGTTGCGAACTGGCTATCAAGACGGACTTGGCACGGTCAACACCAAAATAGGAGACGCTTCCATTGTACCTTGGAGCTGTTCGCAACTTCTCTTTGGCCAACACGAAGTGCTGCTTGGCGGTGGATATGCTATCTCTGCCTGAATATCTTGGATATTGAATGTGGATGTAGCATGATGTAGCTGCTTAGAGGGATCTTAAAAGGCATCCCCGGAGCATCCTTCAAGGCATCGCACAGAATCATTCTGCAGGTGGATTTGAAGAAGATCGTCGAGTGCTGGAAGCCAAGATCAACGAGGCTTATGTCTCCAAGGATCACTTTGAGGTTTTGGTGCAGGCGATGCCATGAATGCCGAAAATTTTGGGACGCAAGCTGCATGAAGTTTAGCCAAGTGTAGCCATGGACAGCTTGTTTCCATGGTAGGGTCAATGCAAAAATTGTCCTGGCAAGAAGTGAAGAAGCTCGACATAACTCATCATAGCTCGACAAGAGCAAGCACATCCAAATTCCAGGCCTCAGCTACTTTATGTGCAGCGGACGAAACAGGACTTCAAAGTTCACATGTATTCAGAATACCGTATTCACTTGAAAGGGCTGCCATGAGCTGTCTGAATGTCTTTCTCATCCAGGGCATTTTTCACATCGTATAGATGCGAAAATACAGATCTTGCTTCTCCGTTCGGAGAGCGATCGTTCTGGAGGCGACGGTCATTGCGCTCATGGCGCGGAGTATGGCTTTCCGAGCTGGTCGATCACCGAGGCTCGAAGGCAAAAATCAGGCAACGCAGGGGGATAGCGAGTTGGCCTGGCGGCTGTTACTTTGCTGTGAGGGTTGACAACAATAGCCATGTGGGTTTTGTCTGATTCAGGGTGAAAAAAGATGAAAAAAGCACATGCTCATGGCTGATGATCATAGTTCCATCTTAAGATTGCCTTTTCATGGCCTCATCGATCTATTTTCAAGTCCATACCCTTCAGTGTACTGAGTGTACTGAGGAAACTCTATGAAACATATTATCAACCTTGGGTGACATTGGCACGTGATCTCGGATGCCTGATCGCAAAGTGGGGAGACAGGGGTCTTTGGTCCAAGGATCTCAAAGCTGATGACAAGAATTGACAGATTCGAACGAACTTACAGCCATAGTCAAATATGTGATTTTCCTACGTTTTTCCTCTCATTTTTGTTGCCGTTTTGGTACTGGCATGTTTTTGCCATTTGGGGTTTCTCTTGTCATTGCTTTGTCGTGTTGTTGCCATGGTTTTCCATGGTTTTGCTGTCTTGTTGTCATTTGAAATAATTAGATTGGGGCAGCGCCAGAGCCACCTTCTATTCTCTTTCTTTGAATGTTAAAATTACTTGATCTACAATCTGAAACGGTTTCGGACCAGCAAACTATGTTGTGTAAGGTAGTGAACAAGATGCACATAAAAGATCTGAAAAGATCTGAACATAATTTGCGCAGGAATGAACGACTTAGCAAATGCCCTGGGAAGCTGTGATTGCTTGACCTGGCGACGAGTTAGTTCGATCTCTTCAAGTAATTGTGGCGTCACTTGGCAGAGGTTCCTGAAATCGGGTTACCCCCAAATCATCATAAATCATCCATTTGAGTAGAACGCTCCATTATATCCAGTATAAACCATCCAGCTATTGGGGTACCCCCACTTCAGGACCCAAATTTTGTGACATTTTGTGATCAATGTCCTGGCCCAGAAGGTCCCAGAAGCTGCGAAATGAAGTCCGCCTCATGTCACTCATGTCACTCAGTATACAGTATGTTTCCCTGTGGGACCAGTGGACACTTAGTGGACTTGTGAAGAGGTGAAGCGGGGCTTCACCCAAATAGTGATAATTTGCTACTAGATGCTAGAATGGTGCCCAGGGGGTTGTTAATCCGGTGTGACATTATCATCATTATTTCAAGTCAGTATTGTTTAAAACGATAAAGAGTTATGTGACGCTGTGAGAATGCGGATGGAGTGATTGAGTCTCAGGCTATGAGGAGGACGAGCAGCAGTGGCTTCACAGCATAAAGGCTCAGTGTGACACGGGCGACAAGACGACAATAGAAACACGTAGAAACACAGTATTCAAAGGGCTCAGCAGGGAAATAGATACTTTGCAACCAGCTCGCTTTGCACCAAAAACTGTGCAGCCTCTTTACTCGTGCAACCGGTCTGAACCGGTCTCAGCCCTCAAATCAAGCCGTGGAAAGCAAGCGCAGTCCAGCCAAGGCCTCTCAGCGAATTCAACGACAGAGACCAAAGACATCGTTTCTCCTTCCTCAGACAGAAGCCAAGTCGTCACGCCTGAATGCCACTATGATCTCATGCAAATGAGCATCGGAGTCAATTCTTTGGCTTTCCATGAAGTCATTTCTGACTGGTTTGAGATCGATGTAGTCCCGATCCTTGCTAAGTTTCAGGAAACAAGCACCAAGTGATTTGGTGAATAGAACAATATTGCACAGTCGGCCTTTGGCTACGGGTGACAAATGTCGAATTCAGAATAATTCAGAATGATTTTTTTGCCGCAGTGTCGCGAATGGATTCCAATCCACGCGACATTTTTGTAGTGCAATGTGGAATTCGTTACCTGGGTTCAGATTCTCATGCAACCTGGTCCTGGATAATTTTCCTCGCAGTTATGCTGCATTGCCCAGTTTCGTAGGTCCTTAGGTACACACGACATTTTTCAGCTGCAACTGTCAGCTGGGTCAGGTCTTTTCATCCCCCAAAAAAACATGAAAAAACCTCTAATATATGGGCCCCAACGATGAATTCCAACACTGAACCATGGTTTCTGGGGATGATTTTTGAATTGTTGACCTTCACCCTTCGCCTTTTTGTGCATTCAGATCCTCACGAACGTTTCAGAACTGGATCTGGTGGCTCAAATCTTATCTGGTCAGGATAGGTAAGAATTTCATAGTTTGGATAATCATTATGATATTTTGACAAAAAAGATGTGTTTGCAAAATCATGCTCTGCTATCACTCTCTGTTGCCCTGTGGGCACTAGTGAATTTGTTGTGTATTTCCATGTTCCATACCGACCTCTGTACCAATACCACTGGTCGAGCAGAAAAAAGAATTCAACAAAGCAATTTTTAATCGACGTTTAAAGATGATTAAAGAAATATAACAAAATATGGTTTCAAATCAATATTGATATAAGATTGTCATTTCATAAATTGTAATATTTGTGAGTTCCCCCTAGTATTTAACACAAAACGAGAACATGTGCTTGCTACAACTACCTTTGGTATACCTTTGGTAGATAGATGCAGGTCCAACATTGATATATGTGTTATATTTCCCCGGCTGCCAGTTGAGGGTCTCAAGATTTCGAAAAGACATGCCGGAATCTCTTCCTCTTCCTCCGCATCCTCGTCCTCTTCCTCAGCAGCTTCTTGCTAGCACCTTGTCAGCTTGCTGGACGCGGGACCCTATAGGTGAGCTCGCCAGCTGACTGTGGGGCGCGCCGGACGCGAACTCTGCGTCCGATAACATGCCACCTAGAATGTCAGAATATACGTCAGACAGAATGCCAGATAAAAATAGATAAAATGCAAAATTGAATTCAGAATACATGCAAGATAGAATCCCAAAATAAAAACATAATACATATGTCGGACAGAATGCCAGAATATATGCGACATAAAATGTCAGGTATAATGTCAGAAGTTATGTGTCACCTTGCATGTCCCTTTTTCGTCGCTTCGCCGGCTTGCAGGACAAGGGCATGAATATACGGATTTATTTTTCAATTTGGATGGGTTTGGGGTTTTGAAACATATTTTGCCGGTTTGCAAGAATTTTGGCAATTGATATTGCTTGGATGCGTAGGTTTGTGGATAATGTAATTTAGTTTATATCCATCTAAGCGTGGTTTTGGATAGCGATGGACATTGGCCCCTGGAAATAAAGATCGTTGAAGGCCAGATATTTATCGAAGGAAGTTTAGAAGTCAAACTTCCGACAATATGGACAGATGAAAAGCAGAGATGGGAAGAGTCAGAGAAGAGAAGAGAAGAGAAGAAGAAAGAAGATCAAAAAAGAGAAAGTCTCAGAAAAAAAAAGATCCAGGTGCGCGAAAAGGTAGGAAAGTCCCGAAACACTGTGTTTTTCCAATGACTGATGGCTCCGGAGGGTCGAAAAGTAGGCTCACTAAAGCGGAGGGTGCGGAGCCAGCTGGCCAGATGAGAGATGAAAAATTGCACGCCGTTGTGGCGCGAAGTACATTTCCAAGTCAAAATGTACAAAGCACACCTTGCTCGGACCACTTTTGGAAGTTGTGATGTCGGAAAAGTTCACGCCGATGTGGCGCGAAGCACATTTCCAAGTCAAAATGCAATAAAATGCACAAAACACCTCAGCTTCGGAGCACTTTTAGGAGTTGAGATGATGAAAAAGTGCACGCTGTTGTGGTGCAAAGCACATTTCTAAGTCAAAATGTACAAAACACCTCAGCTTCGGAGCACTATTAGAAGTTGAGATGATAAAAAAGTGCACGCCGTTGTGGCGCGAATGACATTTCCAAGTCAAAATGCACAAAACACCTCAGCTTCGGAGCACTTTTAGAAGTTGAGATGATGAAAAAGTGCACGCTGTTGTGGTGCAAAGCACATTTCTAAGTCAAAATGTACAAAACACCTCAGCTTCGGAGCACTTTCAGAAGTTGAGATGATGAAAAAGTGCTTGCCGTTGTGGCGCGAAGCACATTTCCAAGTCAAAATGTACAAAGCACACCTTGCTCGGACCACTTTTGGAAGTTGAGATATCGAACAGTTCACGCCGTTGTGGCGCGAAGCACATTTCCAAGTCAAAATGTTCAAAACACAACATGCCTGGACCACTTTTGAAGGTTCAGATGTGGTTTTGAGTGGCAGGCGCAAGGGATTCTGCACCTTGCCAAAAGTGAGCAAAACGTGAGGATTTTGTTGCATTTCCAAAAACGATGGCAGGCGTGGGACATTTGAAGTGGATCTGCCAAGATGCATTTTCCGTGGTAGGCGCAGTACAAGAGACATGTTCATCAGAGATGTTAGGAGGTCCGGGCGCTAATTTCCTGAGAGGGGTTGCATTCTGAGCATCAAATCTTCAGTTTTGGGAAGATTATTTTGCAGCACTTCGTATGACCTGGCTTCACTTTTCCGTGGCAGGCGCAATACTTTAGACAGGTGGAGTCCGTCAGCTCTGCACTCAACTTTCCATTTTTGAAGGAAGTCTCGCAGAATTGCTTCGTTTTCAAGCTTGTAGATAGACAGATAAATAGATAGACAGCTACAACTGCAACTGCAACTCCTACTCCTACTCCTACTCCTACTACTACTACTACTACTACTACTACTACTACTACTACTACCACTACAACTACAACAAGTACAAAGATATTACTCTACATTACATAATACTAATTGCACTATAACTACCCACAGGACGAGGGGTTATTTTCTCGTGCTACGAGGGTATGGGCCGGAGGGCCATACCCGAGAGCGGAGCTAGCAACCCCTTGGTCCGATTATCCCAGTGCCAGGCGATTTCCTTGTTATGTTTACTCCCTACAGATTGGAGACATGGATTATTGGAATAATAGAAATTGAAATTATTTACCGTTGCAGGCGCATGTGCTGATTAAGAGCTACTTACCCTCTCGCGATTTGGTAAAATTCGAAGAGACCACTTGGGAAAAGAATACCAAGACAAAAGCAAGGAATCTTTCCATGAAGGGTCCGGCTCCATGGAACCTATACGTATATTTTTATTAGGGGTTTTATTTAGGGTATATATAAATTATAAAATCCCCCGGCCCCCTGGAACTTATATATTACTACATAAAACGGGACGCCTGTCGAAAAAGTGGGCGCCCCTGTCGGAAACCCGACACTTGTACCCGGAATTGATCCAATACATCATGTAATTATGCCAAAAGTCCCAAATTTTCCGGAAATTTCGGACGAAACCCCGAATTTTCACGGAAATTTGGCGATTTAGGAATTTCCTAAAGTGGCAAATTTTCCGGAAAATTGGTGCTTCGGGATTTTGACTGAACCGCGAAATTTTCCCGAAAATTGGTGCTTCGGGAGGTCGACTCAACCGCGACTTTTGGCAGAACAACTCGCATCGCAATGCCTGATTTGGGGGTACCCGAATTTTAGGACAACGGGATGCTTGTCGAAAAAGTGGGCGCTCCGGTCGGAAACCACGTATTTATAGCCGGAATTGATGCAATATACCAGTAGTACCGCACAAGGCGGCGGCGGAAGTTTCAAAAATAGGAAACCTACAGGAGAGATTGGTTGTTGTGAATCCGGGATGGCAGAGCGAATCCACTGATGGACCGAAAGGTGCTTGAGGTCTCCTCTCTTTCTCCTCTTTCTCTCTCTTTCTCTGACTATCTACCTACCTACCTATCTATCTTCTATGTATCCATCTATCTATCTATCGATCTATCTCTCTCTCTCTCTCTCTTTCATCTAATTACCTATCTATCTATCTATCTGTCTGTCTATCTATCTATCTATCTATCTATCTCTCTCTCTCTCTCTCTATCTCTCTCTCTCTCTTTCATCTGTCTATCTGTCTAGCTGTCTACCTGTCTATCTGTCTATCTATCTATCTATCTGTCTATCTGTCTACCTGTCTATCTGTGGTGCAGTGTCATTCAGTGTAATGTAGTGTAGTGTAATGTAGTATAGCGTAGTGGAATGTAGTGGAAGGTAGTGTAGTGTAGTGTAGTAGAGTGTAGTGGAGTGTAGTTCTGTAGTTGTAGCTGTAGTTGTAGTGTAGTGGAGTGTACTGAAGTGTAGTGTAATGTAGTGAAGTGTAGTGGAAGGTAGTGTAGTGTAGTGTAAAGTAGTGTAGTGTAGTTGAGTGTAGTGTATTGTAGTGTAGTGTAGTGTAATTTAGTGTAGTGGAGTGTAGTGGAGAGTAGTGGAGTGTAGTTGTGTAGTTGTAGTTGTAGTGTTGTGGAGTGTAGTGTACTGTAATGTAGTGTAGTGGAGTGTAGTGTAATGTAGTGTGTAGTGGAGTGTAGTTGTGTAGTTGTAGTTGTAATGTAGCGGAGTGTAGTGTAGTGCAATATAGTGAAGTGTAGTTGAAGGTAGTGCAGTGTAGTGTAGTGTAATGTAGTGTAGTGTAGTGTAATTTAGTTTAGTGGAGTGGAGTGTAGTGGAGTGTAGTTATAGTTGTAATGTTGTGGAGTGTAGTATGGTGTAATGGTGTGTAGTGGAGTGTAGTGTAGTATGATATAGTACATTGTAGTGAAGTGAAGCGAAATGATATTTGAACCTCCAAAAGTGGTCCGAACCCTGGTGGTTTTAATATTTTGATTTTGAAACGTGCTTCGCGCGACAACGGCATGTATTTTTTCGATATTTTGACCTATAAAAGTGGTGTGAATGTGTGGTATTTTA